CCGTGCCGTGGTGCTCTGCGAGGACCGCCCGGAACACTCAACATTAAAACCGTTTCGGCGCGCTAATAGAACATGGCTTTCAAGTTATTTCGCTTGGCGGTCACTACACGCGCGATGCGCTCAAGTACGCCGTGCCGTACACGTGCTGGCCCTCGTGACCGCCCTGGCGGTCCCGTGGCGGCCGCGGCTTCTTCGAATTCCGATTAGTGGGTCGGGTCACACTTTCGCCTGAGTGGCCCTAGACACGCAGTGCGGCGCGGCCGGCGCTCCGACCACACTCGGCCGTTCTGCGGGCCCGGCCGGCCCCAGGCCCCAGGTCCCCGATGTGCGCTCGGTGGAGGTCATTTAGGCCCGAATTAAGGTCGGTAGGGGTCACTGGCGGGCGGACCTCGGCCGGGACTCGGCCAGACCGCAGGGCCCTTCACAACGCCATGATGAGGCCGTGGCCGTGACCCCGGGGACGACGCGCACGACGCGGGACGCGCAGGTGGGCGGAGGAGGGCCTTTGCGTCGCCACGTCACGAGCTCACTCGAATTTTTGCGCCTCCAGGGCCGTGCGCCGTGCGGTCGTGTGCAGTGCAGTGGAGAGGCGCGGCCCCGCCGGCCCCGCAGCCAAGTGCTGGGGATCCTGACGCAAACGGCCTCCTCCACCCGGCCGCCCGGCCCCGGCCACCCCCACGGCCTCGGCCTGCTTCTAGGCGCGCGGCCCCTGCACCGCAATCAATGCGCACCTGTGTCTCGGGCGATGCTGGGGTCCAGGTTGCGCTCGGCGCGCTTGAAGTAGGGCAGCAGGCTGGTGTAGTTCCAGGTCGCGTCCGCTGTCAGGCTGGCCCACTCGTCGAAGTCGGCGGGGCTGCCGCGCACGAAGGACATGCCGCCGAGCGCGGACGCACCACCCAGCACGAAGGGCGACGGCAGGGAGCAGCCCGCTCCCGCGCAGCTCTGCGGCTCCGGCTCGGCCTGCGGAGTGCGGAGTGCGGATCCAGGGTCACTACACTACAGGCCGTGCTGGCAGGGTCCTGGTCTGAGGCGATGCCCACCGTCAAGTACTCGGCGGTGTTGGCCTGCAGGATGTAGGGCAGGTAGCCGGGCACCCTGGCCTGCTGCGGCTCGGTGCCACCGCGCTCCAGCAGCAGCACCTTGACGTCGCCGCGGCGCGACAGCCTCTCCGCGAGGACGCAGCCCGCCGTGCCGCCGCCCACCACCACGAAGTCGTACTCCTCGTCGAAGCCCTGCGGCTTCTGCTCGGCCTCCTCGGCCTGCTGCCGGTACTCGGCCTCGAGGCGCGCGTTGACGGCCGTCACCAGCATGGTGACGAAGGCGGCCAGCGAGCTGTCGCAGCCCGGCGACGGCGTGTAGGGCGCGTGCGTCGCGGACCCCATCGCCCCCATCACGGACATGGCCTCCGTCGGCTGATCCGCGCTGCGCGGCCTCACTCGCTCCGTGTCCGCGGCCTCCGGGCGACTAGGCGGCTAGAGAGACTCGAGGTCTATAGTCTCTCTGAGTCTCTCTAGCGGCGGGGACGGAGAAACCAGTCGGCTTCCGCCCCGCGTTCGCCGCGCTCTCGCGCTCCGCCACCAGCTGCGCTTGCGCTGCCCGCACGGTGACTTATGCCGACGCCAGGCGCCAGGCCGGCCGGGCCGAGGGCCAGGCCCCTTATCGCACGTCCCGAGAAACAGGATTCTCTGTCCCTGCCAAGTTCAGGGCTTTTAAGAAGTACACGAACGAAAAAAAACAGCTTGCCTTTGAGCAGCAGGAAATTACCCTCGCCGCGCCGGGCCGGGGTGGACTCCGACGATGACGGCCCGAGAGTGGCGCGGCTCGCTGCAGGCTCACTCCGAACAACCCTGCGTCTCTCCTCTCGCTCTCTCTCTCTCTCTCTCGCGTGCGGGAGAGACAGCGGCCAGCCTGGCCGAGCACGAGCTGGTAATTACAGCCCTCAGGACCCTCTCCAGAGCCAACACTATCGCCTAAGGAGTGGAGGGCGGCGTGCCGTGCCCTCACACGGAGTAAGGGAGGGAGAGGGGAGCGGCAGTCTCCCGATGATGTTCCAAAGCACTCATGCTGAGGAGGGCGCCTCCTTCGCTGCTGAGAGGGCTTGTGTGTCTCCTCAGTGTCTCCGTGTCCACGTCGCCGAGTCTGACTGAGCTCCCCGCCGGCGAAAGCGAAGGGAGGAAAGAAAAGCACTTGCTGTGCTCCAGAGAGAGAGGACGCTGACAGCGATTTCGTGTGGCAGGCTCGTCATGGTGATCGAGTTTGAGAGCGCATGGTGATCAGTTTGTTGTTTGCATGCGAAAAGGGCTTGGAAAAGGGCTTGCTCGCAGGCGGCGGTGCCCTGGCGGTGCCCTGGCGCCCTGGCGGTGCCCTTGTTGGCCTCGAGGGCGGCCCGGCCGGGCAGATATGGCGATACAGTGTAGGCGTCGGTGCGCTGCGATGTCACGAAGAGAAATTAAGGACGAGGGTCGTTGGGTCGGAGAAAGGAGGATGCCCCGGTGCCCCGGCGCTGACCTGTAGACTGATTCCGAGAGTAGTTTTCTTCGCTCTGCCTCCCTCTCGCACCTGTACGAGACGCCCCATGAGTGCGAGGGAGACAGAGCGACGAAAACGACTCAGGGCTGCCAGGGCTGGGGCTGGGAGTTCCCCGGCGCGGGTTGTGCCGTGCCGGAGTGCTCTGTGTACACTGTGCGCCAGGGCGGCCTAGCGGCCCTTGGGTGGCCTTGCAGCGCCAGCGCCTTGACCTTCGGCCTGCAGCCTGCCCCCGTGCCCCCCGTGCCCCCTGTGCCCCCGTGCCCCCTTTGCCCCCGGCCCTCGGCACGCCACGTGGACGCGGACGTGGCTGTGTTTATTATTCTGACGTGTCGGCGGTAGGCCTGCCCGGCTGGCCTGCCTGGCCGGGCTGCAGTCACGTAGAGAGATTACAAGTGTCGCAGGGTGGCGAGAGAGGGAGAGAGAGTGGGGCCTTAAAGAGGGGGAGGGGTGGGGGGGGGTTTGACAAAGAGTGGAAACCAAGCCTCTCCAACGAGTCCGGCTGGGGGGCTGTGCTGCGCTGGGCTGGGCAAGGGGTGCATGCTGGCTGCTAGAAGTGGGTCTGTAGGTCTGCATCCACTCCAGGCCGCCCGAGGCCGCTCCAGGGCCGCTCCAGGGCCGGCAGTACTCTGCCTGGAGCGGCGCGCGGGGGCGACGACGGCGACGTCAACCTGGAGGTAATTTAACGTTTTGTATCCACTGCACTGCCTTTCCCAAGCCCCCCGGCTCGACTCAGCTTCCTTCCTTTGTTTCTGGCGTAAATAAAGTTGCCCACTCTGGGGGTGGCCTCGCCCCGCCCCGCCCCGCCCCGGGCGGCGGAGAAATGCAGAACACAGATTGCGTCACTAGGAGCAAGGTGGGGCCTTACATAAACGCGCGCCCCCTCCCCCTTCCCCGCCCTCCTTTCTCCACAACGAGGTTGCCAGAATCGCCAGAATCACCAGAATGGTCGCTAGCCTCGCCTGGCCAGCCTTGCCAGCCCACTAGTGGCCGCGGTACACGCCAAAGTGCCACAAAAATGGAGCATCGTGCGTTAATTTTGGCACACTTTTTCAAGCCCCAATGAACGATATCGTTCTCATCCACATATTACGTTGCGTCCTCTATCTCTCTCGCAATCACTGGAAGTCCATAAGGAGCAACAAGGACGGAGATATGGAAAACGTGAACGACCCCTAAGCCGCCTGGCCGCGGCATCAAAAGGGTGACACATTTAAACCGCGCCAGGCCGGAGTCACTGTTCGGAACGAAATGGCTTCGCGGGCGAGACGGCGAGACGCCTTGCCCAGCCTTGCCCCGCCTCGCTGCGCCGTCGGCACACAGCCTCTGGTTACGCACGCCGGGGACTCGGCCTTGGGCCAGGCCAGAGAGGACGGCTTGGGCGGCTCTAAGCAAAGGCAACTTGCAGTGGTCTGATTCCCGACAGGCGCTCTGTCCCTTCGGAACTCCTCGGCCGCCCCTCGTGATGGACGGCGCGTGCGGCTATCGGCTATCGGGCCGCGACGTGCCCGTCGTGGTGTGCCTCTTCATCTCGGCACGCGGTACTCTGTGGGAAAAAAATCACAGTAAATCCTGTAGTGATTAGTACAGCTGTCACTGTAGTTCAGAGTACAGGATTTACTGTACCTTTTTTACAGGATCCACTGTACTTTGTACGGGATTTACTGTACCACTGGAGTGGAGTACGGAATATCCTGTACAAGGTACAGTAAACACTGTAGCCAGGCACAGTAAATGCTGTGTTCTGAACCACAGTAAATCCCGGCAAAAAAAATTAACGGGTTTCACTGTGGTTTTTTCGCACAGTGTACACTCTCGAACAGAAGCTGCGGCGGCAATGTGCGGCAAAGTGGCGCGAAGGACCGCAAGCCCGTCTGTCTGGTCGGGACTGTAGAGCACTGTAGAGAGGAGGCGGGCGCGTGAGGGAAGGGATACTGTTGTTTGCAGTGACATCCAATCCGGGGTGTGGTGGCGGCCTGGCTAAGGCCTGGCGGGGCCGCTGCTTAGCGCTCTTAGCGCCAGCCAGCCATCCATCCATCTATCCATCCGTCGACCGCGCTAAGACCCTTGTCACTGGCAACCGCAGCCTCGCCCGGTCCTGCCAATCGGCCCTTTGAAGGCGTGGCAAACAAAGTAAATATTGATGTGTGTTGGGGGTTGGAGGTTGGAGGCGGGCCCCGCTGCCTGGCTTGCCTGGCTCGCCTTGGCTTGCCGACAAGAAGCTGTTAGGAGATTGATAGATGTGGGTTCGGGGTTCGGGGTTCGGGATTCGGGATTCGGTTCGGTCGGGTTCGGGTCGCCTCGCCGCGCAACGCGTGACGCAGAGACAGTCAAAGTCGCGAGCTGCCAACCGAGCGGGAACACCGTCGTGTGTGTGTCGCCCGATGTTCCTGTGGTGCAGCGGGATAATGAGATGGTATCCCATTGGATCGCTCTGACCCGTGCCTAACGTTCTGTTTGTCTTTTCGTTCCAGGTCACTTCGAAAACGTGCGACAATGGCTTCTCGTGAGTAACCACCCCGCACCAGCGCTTTTCTAACGAACGATTTCCACGTTGCGTTTGATTTTTAGCAGATGATAAATTACACATGCACAAAATCCGAAAAAAAAAAGTTATTATTAATTATTTTTGGTGGACAGCTGCCAGCCGCCCAAGGACTGCTGCCCGCAAGGGTGCTGCTACCCGCTGGGGGTGCACACCCCCTACCTGCCGTCCGGCCACGGCACCTACGGCCCGAGCTCCAGCCTGGGCGCCACCAACGTGCTGTCCGCCGTCTTCTGGAACCACTGGTTCTTCTGGTGAGCGTCTGGAAGTGGAAGCCAAGCAGTAGGCTCATTTCGGACAGTGGTCGCTGTCTCTCTCGCACTCGTGAGGCGTCCCCGATAGGTGCGAGAGAAGACAGAGTGACGTGCGTTGCGCCTTGCAGGAGCCTGCTGGCGCTGCTGCTGCTGTCCTGCTCCGGGGGCTGCTCGCTGTGGCGCCGGCGCCACGAGCTGGACCTGCTGGGCTGCCAGGGCTGCGGCTCGGCCGAGGACCCCGACGAGCAGTCGGACCGCGACTCCACCGCCAGCTGCTACCCGCCGCCGCAGTACTCGCGCTGCAACTCGTTCTCGCAACCGCCGCCCTACAGCGAGGTCAGTGCCAGTGCGCCTGTCGCAGCATGGGTGTAAAATGTAACACGCAACGGGCGAGCGGGTTGCCTATGCTCGACTCGGCGGGCGCGCCGGAACGGAGCGGTGCTGTTAGGGGCGGTCATTGCGCCCCTGCGCCGCGGTACACGCGTTTTTTCGCGGCATAGCGCCTTCGCGTCACCGCCACGTCTTGACTCAACGGTGCGCGAGGCCGCGAGGCCGCGAAACCGCGAAACCGCAGCGCCAGGACTTCAGGACATCGCGACTTCGCGTCACCGCGGACGCTCAGGACTCCAGGACTTCAAGAATCATGGGCCCGCGACAACGTGAAGTCCTGGAGTCCTGAGCGTCCGCGGTGACGCGAAGTCGCGATGTCCTGAAGTCCTGGCGCCGCGGTTTCGCGGTTTCGCGGCCTCGCGGCCTCGCGCACCGTTGATCAAGACGTGGCGGTGACGCGAAGGCGCTATGCCGCGAAAACGCGTGTACCGCGGCGCAGGGGCGCAATGACCGCCCCTAACAGCACCGCTCCGTTCCGGCGCGCCCGCCGAGTCGAGCATAGGCAACCCGCTCGCCCGTTGCGTGTTACATTTTACACCCGGTAGTGACCGTCAGTGCAGGCGGCCGAAGACGCGTTTTGAGCTCCGGAGTCGCTATATACAGGCCTCGAACCGAACGTGTGACCCCACCAATGGATTCCTCGTTCGGAGAGCAATCCATTGGTGGGGTCACACGTTCGGTTCGAGTGCCATTTAGCGACTCTGGAGCTCAAAACCCGTCCGGGATTTTGGCCGTCTCCACCGGTCTTCTGACCCACTGTGCGACTCCGAGAGTCGGACTCAGCGTGAGAGACCACGTGGTCGTCTTTGGTTCCAGGTGACGTCGAAGCCTGACCTGTACCCGCTGGTCATCAGCTACAACGACAACTCGGCCAAGGGCGGCAGCTACCTCATGGTGCAGTACTTGCGGCACTACTTCCTGCGACCCGCTGGTAGGTTAGGGTTCAGTGTTTGCCGCTCGAGTAGTAGTGCTCGAGGCGAAGTAGAGTTGCCACCCGAAAGTCTCAAGTAAGCCCGCTGCTGCCGCTGCTCCGTGGCGAGGCGTCGGGTGGCACCGGCAACCCTATGGCAGCGTTTCCGACTGAGGTTGTGTTCTCTGTTTGCAGGCGGGTCCCTCTCGCACACCAGCACCACCGACTCCATCAGCTCCAGCTTCGCCCGTGCTGCAGCCAATGCCGAGGTGAGAAGCGAGGGCGGGGCGGTCCCGGCGGTCCCGGCGGTCCCGGCGGTCCCGGCGGTCCCGGGGGTTAGGCAAAACTCGCCCAAGTCCGCTCCAGGACACAATCCGCCAGACCGCGGTGTGGCGCGGCGCGCAGCAGGGCGTGGCCGGCCAACTTATTTTGACTAACTCGTTTTCTCCCCGGGGGGAGCCTCATTTGGAATCCCTCGCTGAATATCTGACGAGGCCCAGGCGGCGCAGGCGGCGTGGCGCAGGCCGCGCAGGCCGCAGAGGCCGCGCAGGCCGGCCCCACTCGTCGCCATCGCTCGGGCTTTGTCTCGTGTCCTCGCGCCCACTCGCGCCAGCGAAAAGGAAAACACACCGGAAGAGCAGCAGAATGAATTTAAAAAAAACGCGGGTCGCCGTAACGTAAGTTTGTCGCCGGAGCCTGAAAAGTGCTGGCGATTCTCGCACAGGCCCTGCCTTGGTCCAGGCGGCCGCGCGGCCGCGCTCGGCCCGTTATAACGTACCTTTTTAAACGGCTTGCAGAAGTCCGACTCGTCGCTCCATCTCTGTCGCACTCCTACCGGACGCCCCGTGAGTGTGAGAGAGACAGAGCGAATCAGAATGAGTCTGCAGAGGCTGTGTCGTCTCCGGGGCCTGCCTGCAGGGCCTGCAGGGCCAAGACGCGCCAATAGCGGGGCTTACAAAAAGTTCCACTTGGCTCCGACAACCCACTTTCCCTCCCTAAGAGGATTACCGCCCTCAGACCCAGAGGCCGGCCGAGGCAGCCGAGGCAGCCAAGGCCCAAGCCTTCCACGTGGAGGTGGCGGGCCTTAACCGGAAGTGGGGCCGGGACGGGCCGGGACGGCCGGAAGTAGGCGCGGAACCGGGGAGTGAAGCGCGGCAGCCGCCTTGAGTTGCCGGCTTTCCGGCTTTCCGGTGCCCCAAGCTCGGCGGGCCGAGAACGCCTTCGTTTTGAACCGACGGCCGACGGCCACTCCGCGCCGCCGTCGTCGACGTGGAGTGGATCCCCCGCTGACCCACTGTGTGTTGCAGGCGCTGAACGCCGCGCCCCCGCAGTACGTGACGGTGGCCAACGGCGGCCAGGTTGTGCCGCCGCCGCCGCCCCTGCCGCCCTTCGGGTTCGGAGGCGCGCCGCCCCCAGCGCTGCCGCCGCCGCCAGCAGCCAGCACGCGCAGGGCCTTGCCCAGCTCGGCCTCCATGCCGTCCGTCTGCAGCCTCCCCTCCAGCAGGCTGAGTTCCAGGAGCGGCTCCAGGACGGGCTCCAGGACGGGCTCCAGGACGGGCTCCAGGAGTCAGACCCAGGTGGGTGCACGTTCCGCGCTCCGCACGAGTCGTAAAAGGGGGCGAGCCAAATTACAATGTGAGCGTGCCTCGCAGAGCTACTCCGTGGCGCAGTCCATGGCGGTGGGCGAGTGGTCCAACTCGGGCTCCATGTCCGTGAACGTGCAGCCCGTGCGGCAGGCCATGCCCGCCCGGCCCGCGTCGCTGCCCCAGGCGCACCCCGGCAACAGCAGCGGCCACCAGGGATGCTCGGGCACCGTCTCGGAGGTCAGTGCTTCAAAGTGAACCAGCGAGGTGTCCCCCACACAGCGTACCCAATCTCTGCATTAACTCCTGCCTGGCTTTCTTCTCCCCGCCTGCAGGTGAGCTCGCTGCTCGGCGAGGTGTCGCCGTCCTCGCCGCCGCGCGCGCTGTCGCCGTCGGCGCCCGCGGAGCTGCGCCTGCTGCTGGAGCAGATTGACTCGCTGACGGGGAGGGGCGCGGCCCAGCACGCCGCGGCGCACAGCCCTGGCGCGTCCGCGGGGCCGGGGCCGGGGCAGGGCGTCCGCGCGGGCCTGGGGCTGGGCCTGGGGCTGGGGTCGAGGGCGCGCCGCGGCTGGGTGGCGTGCAGGACCTCCCGGTCCGCGCCGTGCACGCCGATGACGATGACGACGCCGCAGCCGTCCGTGTTCCAGCCCTTCCAGCCCTTCCAGCCGGCCGCGGCGCTAGTGTCGCCGCAGCGCGACGACGACCCCCCCTCGCCGGCGCCGTCGGACCCGCCCCGGAGAACCCTGTCCACGTCGTCCAGGATGTCCGCCACGTCGGCGTCGTCCTCGCGCCGCCACCACCGCGACCACAGTGTGCACGACGCGCTGCTGCTGCTGCAGGACGAGCAACAGGAGCACAGCGACGCCGCGCCCTGACCGCGCCCGCGCGCCACGCCACTCCGCGAGGGGTGCTCCACAAATTAAATTCCAAACTTGTGAAAAAGACTGAAATGTTCAGCTGTTGTGGCAAAGGAACTCTGCACCAACAAAACAGAAGATATTTTTTACTGATGATGCACACGTTTATGTTAGTGTCTTGTGTAATTCCAATTTTTGTATAGACCGTCATATGGTGGATATATATGTATTGTCTCTCAAAGCTGCAGTTTAAAATGTATTTCAAATGTTTACTTGACCATATATTTGGAAAAAAAAAGCTTTAAAATGGCTGTTATTATTGTAGCATGTAAAGAGAAGTGTCGCTTTTACCTGATATTTGCCAATTAGATGACAGGTACTCATTCTATTGTTTCCCTTTTCAAAAATCAACTAAGCAAAATTTTGTTTCTCTCTCTTCTTTCAGAACTTAGAATAGATGGTCTCCTTACACCTTTTCAAGAAATGTTTTAACTATCCACTTGACAAATGTCATCCATAGGCCTATTTAATTTTTTATTTTGTCCCTTGGCAAAATGGAGAACTGTTTCTCTAAATAATGTTTTTTCTCTAATCTAAATTTAATAATAAAAATAAAAAGATTAAACAGATATGGAAAGCGGTATTTATTTACATAAGCAAGTATTCAATATTTTTATCACTATGATTAACATGTACCAGCTGCATAGCTGCATAGCTAACACATTTATTGCAAAATACACTGCATTGCTAAGACATATAAATATATACAATTGCTTGATACAAACTCTTAAAAGTTTCAATTTGATGGGGCTCTAAATGGGCTACTGGTAGGTAGGAATGAATCAAGATTGAGAGTAGTCTCTGTGGTTATAGGATTAAACAATGCCACAAGTGCATAGTGCTTCACAGGGGGCATCCAACAGGATAAAAAGTACCAATAGAAAAACATCCTCTCACACAGAAATGGATAAGTCGATTAAAATAAATACACAATAAAAAATTAAAGTGGTTGGTTATGTGAGTTACTATTGTCAATTATTACGAATCCCCAAAGCCTGTTCAAGTTCTGCTCGCTTCTGCTGCACCTTGGTGTAAAAGTAGCGGCACACAGCCTCCTGTGCCCATGGCTGGTAGAAGAACTCGGACCGGCGCTCTTCTTCTGGGTTACCAACAACATCAGTCATAGTCTGTAGGGCGAGAACAACACAATGTTAATTTATAAAAAAAATAACACTTAGAGACAAAGATCATGAAAAATAATTACCTTCAAATCTCGTGTCTGCGATATCAGCCATTTGTTGATGAATTGTTGTGGATCCTTGGCAAAGCTCAAGAAAAATTCTCTGTTCGTCTTCAAAGTATTTATTGATTCCACTGTTTCATGAATTTTGTTGTCCAAGTTCTAGAATCAAGGGTATTTAAAGAAACAGTTAAAAGACAAAGATTCCACAAGAGCAGATATCACCAATGTGCAAAAAACAAACCTGGATTTCCTGTTGACTTGTTGTTGACAGTAAGAAGTTGTTCATTTGTGTTTTCAAAGTATCATCTACTTCCACATCTATATCGTAACAAGCTGTCTGCTTTTGCTCAGCTCCTTCCACACTGCAGAGGTAAGTCAGAGAAAGTTAATGAGTGTGGACTAAATACACAGATAAGCCAAGGCAAAAGAATAAGAACACTTTGTACCTAATGATATGATTGATCACAATTGGATCTGGAGGATGAAGGAGAGGATTCAAACGCTGGGGTATTTCTGCAAACTTCATGCGTGGACATGAGAATATCTGCTCAAGGTACTTGTCACAATTGATGAATTCACGCTCATGTGAGTCCTGCAAATAACAATTATTGCTATTATTATTAACAATAAGGGTGTGATGCAATACAACCCACAGGTTTGATAACACAGACCTCTAGAATGAGCAATCATTCCACTAACCTGAAGCTTATGAGTCTTGATGTACTGCCACAGTGCCTGAATTATAACTGGCCTAGTTTGTGTGTGCACACCCAACAGTCGAGCCAAACGCGGATCCAGTTTAAATTGCAATGGCTGGTAGTCCAGCAAAAGTAAAATGGTACACCGTACATTTTTATCACCTGGGCGTTTTACCTACAAACAAAGAGCACTCGGCACATGAGACACATTTGGCATCAAGAATGATTTCAATTCAAAATGCTGACATTTGGAGAAAAAACATTACCTGGAAACCATCAGTTTCCTGAGTTGTAGGAGTGCGATGCCATTCCACAAGATGGTTGTCAGGCCCATAGAGATCTTTGTCTAGTTCAATCACTAAGCTTTTGAAGAATGAAGAAAATTTGCGCTTCACCTAAGAAGAAAAGCAGTAACAATATTAATATTATAAACAAGCACAATTAATTGTGCTTACGTTATGCACAAAATTTTAAAGACAATCATCGCTTTGGAAAATAACTTACCTTGTTAGGATCATTTTTAGAGTCCTCCAACAAACGACCCTCAACACGCAATTCCCAGCTGGCAATAGTTCCTTCCTCATTCTCTCCTGGTTCTTTTGCTGGGTAAAATGTATTTGAAATGAAAATTCGGAGTTTGCGTTTCTGTTTCATGGGCCTCTTTAAAGCTTCCTGCAAAGACACCAAGCACAACATGAGAAAAAGAAAGAACATCTTAAGTGCAAACCACCATATTAAAGTAACATTTACCTGAATGTCTAAACGTTTCCTCATAATTGTGGAGTCCAACTTCCTTTCAAATGCGAGCAAATCCATGTAAGCTTGGGACTCTGGGACAAGGTCTCGTACTTTTTGAGGAAGAATCTTGTCAGCCAGCTTCTTCTTCTTTTTGGTGGGTACATGTTGAATGAAGTCCCTAAAAATTCAAGCAAAGAATTGAAATGGAATTAAAATTGAAACAGAAAATAATTGAATAAATGACTAGGCAGAACAACGTACGTTTTTTGGACTGTAGGAGGCCGTACATCAGAAGGGCGCTTGCCTCCAACAGGCATGGAAGTTGGATTTCCTTGGGGTCGACCCATAGGGTTGTACTGAGGCTGAGGTTGACCTTGCGGTCTAGGAGGCATCATCCCAGGCCCACCAGCATTTCCCATAGCCGACTGGGGACCACCTTGGAAGCCAGGTCGCTGCTAAAAATATTATCAGACATTAAATTTAGTCATTCATACAGCATTACGCACAAACATAAAAGTTTGAAGACATGTAAACAGAAAATCGGAAGGATATTGAGATGCACAGTATAATTTGGCAGAGCGCACCAGTCAATAAAGATAAAAGTCCGAATATAGTGTATAAAGAGATAACAAATACGATACAAAACAAAATTAAAAATATTAATTTGGCAGCCTTCAGTCAACATAACCTAACAAAACATAATGTTTTGGAGAAGATACGAAAAAATAAGAGTTGGCTCAAGATTAACAGATGAAATTTACAGTGATTGAATCGACTGACATCAGAGCCAATCAGCACGCAATGAAAAAACACAGTAATTAACAGGAGCTCAAAAATGGGCCTACCGGAAAATTTGGTCCCGCATATTGTCTCAAAGGAGGTACTCCTGACGGTGGAGGGTATCTCTGCGGTCCAGGGGCACCCACAGGAGCCATATTCGGCGTCCCAGGAAATCTCTGAGCCATTTTGATGCTCCGATTTCACTCCATTCACAACAATAACACGAAATTCGAACGGAACAAGAAGCCGACGCGCAACTCGGCGTTTGGCGTCTGCGGCTGCGGCTGGCGGCGGCGTCGCAAGCGGAGGTTCGTTTTCGTCTCGTTGCGGGTGGCGAGGCTAGGGTTGAGAGGAGAGTGGGGCGGATGGCGGATTGCGCGGCGCGCGCATGAATAGAGGAGGGTACGGTGTGAGGCTAGCGCTGTAGCCTGCTGCCACCGGTTCCGGTTCCGGAGGTGGTGGGGGCGGAACCAGGAGCGCACGGAGATCGACCAGCACGGGCGACTTCCGGCCGCGTCCGGGCCTCGAGGAGCCTCTACTTTGTGAGAGAGGTGCCAATGTCACGTGACCTATACGCCTTCTGATTGGTTCCAACCCAACCGATCCCCGAGCCGTAGCGAGCCGAGCCTGAACTCGCGTCTGTAGCGCTGCCAAAGACCGAGAGCCTAGTCCGATTCGGGATTTTGATACTTAATTTTAAAAAAAGATAGAAGTCGTCAAGTGTTTGTGTGTGTGAGGTTTAACTCTAATGGCTTGCAAATCCAAGAAAAAATACTCAACTTGCCTTGAAACTAACGCTATTTCACAAAAAATAATAATTTGAACCAACATAACCTCACTTTCTTTTCCGTGAAACACAGTGGTATCTAGTCTTCTATTCGGGGTTTTCCTGCATTAATTAGTCTTAAATTTGTCTTTGCTTTACTAAAATACATCGCTTAGCCCATTTGAGTAGTTAATAACCCACCTGACTCCTCGCTTATAACTTGACAGCCCTAGGTTTTTCCCCACTAGGCAGCGCAGTCATCTGTCGAGTGGGTTCCGACCAATCGGAGCGTAGTGGAGGTTTGTGGTGGGGGAGGTCACGTGACATTGGCACCTCTCTCACAAATAGAGGCTCTCTAGGATCGATTTGCGGTTGCGGACTCCGCATCCGCAGTCTGGTCTCTTCGCAGAGTGAAGGTCAACCCGGTCAGCACGCTGTGGTACCCCTCGTCAGTCTTCAAGGCGATAAGAACAAGGTGAGACCTTTTGTCCGTGTTTGCTTGAATCTTGAATGAAACAGGTGAAACTTGTTTGAAACGGAGAGGTGTGCACCTACAATCACCACCCCCAAGGCATTTTCTCAGTGGTATTGCGCGTGCTGTCACGTCCGCGAAATCATCCACTCCCCTCCTTTCTGCTAGAGCGCCCCCGTAGTGTCTGTCACTTTTCTAGTGGACAGTGAAGACAGCGGCTTGTCACTCTTTCAAAGTGAATGACATTTGTCGAGTTTTTAACAAGTTTCACGTTGCGTCATTCTCCAATGTGACTGGATGTCAAGTTTGTCTCCCGCAACCCTGATCAATATCACCTTTGGGTGTAACCTTTGCATGAAGAAGGGTCAAAATCAAGTTGACCATTAATGCCATACCCTACTCTGTTGAAGGTCGAATGAATGGTTCCAAATAGTATTTTTGTTGGTTGTCAGACTGAAAGGAATGTCTTATTCAGGAAAAGTGAATGGGGGTGGGCTTAACCTTGAAAGTGTGATGGAACTTGCTGAATGCTAATCAGCCAACCTTGTGACCAAGTATCTAACCTTTCTATTTTTACACATGACATTCCGCTATGGCCTTTCCTCCTGAGTGCTTAAATCCATTCAATATCATCCCCTTCAATTTGCTAGATTAACAATATACTGTAATTAGAAACTTCATGACAATTTAGATGTCATAGAAGTTGTGCTACTTACCACAATCAATTTTGGCTTTGGACCTTCACACTTCAAACAGCCATAATTTTTTTCAAGTAGCTTGTGTGTGTGCCTTGACCTTGAAGTGCCTCTGCCAGGGCCATGGTCCTGTTTGTACTTCGCTCAACTGTTAGAAGTGCATGGTTAGTACCGCTTGGTAAACTTCTGCCACACAGATGCTTGAACTTTTATTCTTGACATGAACTTTGACAGCAGTGCTTTTTTGGGGGAAATAATGCAATCTTCTCTTTTGAAGATCCCTTTAATTAATTTTGATTTTGTCTTGTTTTCAGTGTCAACTTAGCTCGTCACTACAGTTCATTCAAAATGCCGATCAAGAGCATCAAGGCCCGTAACATCTTTGACTCCCGTGGCAACCCCACTGTTGAGGTAAGTACAGCAGTTTACTGTGGCACCCTTATCATGTAAGAGTGAGTATGAGACACTGAACAAAATGCTGCGCCCAGGTTGACTTGGTGACTGAGCTTGGTCTCTTCCGTGCTGCCGTACCCTCTGGTGCTTCCACTGGTGTTCATGAGGCTCTTGAGCTCCGTGACAATGACAAGTCCCAGTACCACGGAAAGAGTGTCCAGAAGGCCATTGACAATGTCAACAACCTTATCGCCCCTGAACTCATCAAGGCTGTAAGTACAGAAGTTAGTCTTGTTATCTTTGTTACAACTCCAAATCCAACTTTTCAACTACTTTTCCTTTTGTAGGGTCTGGAAGTTACCCAGCAGAAGGAAATCGATCAGCTTATGCTGAAGCTTGATGGAACTGAAAACAAGTCCAAGTTGGGTGCCAATGCCATCCTTGGAGTGTCCCTTGCTGTTTGCAAGGCTGGTGCTGCCAAGAAGGGAGTTCCTCTGTACAAGTAAGCATCACTCAATTTTCTTTAGAGCTCGATACTTTCACCTGCATTCATTGACTAATTTGACTAATTTGTTACTTTTAATTTAAAGGCACATCGCTGACCTTGCTGGCAACAGCACCATCGTCCTTCCCACACCTGCCTTCAATGTCATCAATGGAGGTTCTCATGCTGGCAATAAACTGGCCATGCAGGAGTTCATGATCCTTCCCACTGGTAAAGCTTGTCAGCTCTCTGTCAATTCTTTTGGGTCTTCTGGATTTACCTTGTGACACAGCAACTCAATCTCTTTTGCAGGTGCTTCCTCTTTCAAGGAGGCTATGAAGATGGGCTCTGAGGTGTACCACCACCTCAAGAACATCATCAAGGCCAAGTTCGGTCTTGACTCCACCGCTGTTGGTGATGAGGGTGGCTTTGCTCCCAACATCCTGAACAACAAGGAGGGTCTGACACTCATCATTGATGCCATTGCCAAGGCTGGTTACACCGGCAAGGTTGAGATTGGCATGGATGTGGCAGCATCTGAGTTCTACAAGTTAGTAATTTTTTTTAGAACTTTGATTTTGGCTGTCTGGAAATGCAGACGCTGTATCTAAGTAATATGAACAGATTGTTGATGGCCTACATCTTATATTTTCAGGGATGGCCAGTATGACCTGGACTTCAAGAACCCCAACTCTGACAAGAGCCAGTGGCTGTCTGGCGAGAAGCTCACTGACCTGTACATGGAGTTCATCAAGGAGTTCCCTATGGTTTCCATTGAAGATCCCTTCGACCAGGACCACTGGGATGCCTGGACCAACATCACTGCCAAGACTTCCATCCAGGTATGCATGGCATTGTGCATGCACTGCAAAACAAGCTCAGCCTCATAATTCTCTCATGTGGATTTGACAATTGTGTGTTTTTATGCTTACAGATTGTGGGTGATGACTTGACTGTGACCAACCCCAAGCGTATCCAGATGGCTGTTGACAAGAAGGCTTGCAACTGCCTGCTCCTCAAGGTGAACCAAATCGGCTCTGTCACAGAGTCCATTGAGGCCCACCTCCTCGCCAAGAAGAATGGTTGGGGCACCATGGTCTCTCACCGATCTGGAGAGACTGAAGACACCTTCATTGCTGACCTGGTCGTTGGTCTCAGCACAGGACAGGTAATTTAAGTGACTTTGTCATTTTATGTCAACCTTTGGCTGTTAAATCACGTTATTGCTTACTTATGCCATAAAATGTTATTTTTGCAGATCAAGACTGGTGCTCCCTGCCGTTCCGAGCGTTTGGCCAAGTACAACCAGATCCTCCGCATTGAAGAGGAACTGGGTGCTGGAGCGAAGTATGCTGGCAAGAACTTCCGCAAGCCCATCTAAATTAAGTTTTACAAATTACCTTTTTTTTTCTTTTTTTTTTTGTCTGAGAGAGGTTTACAGGCCTCTTAGATCTGTACACATGGAGTCATTCTGTTGTATGTTAAGTATTGAAGCTTCATTTCCTAGAGAAAATTTAGAAGCAATTGTTTATGTTTTTTAGATAATTTTATTTTTAAAGTGTTTTACTGCCAAATTGTTACATTTCCAAACCATGATTATATTTTTCTCCTGTGGGAGAAATGAAACTAGTCTCTTAATTGCTGTTATAATTGGTGTGATGAGCACATGTACTCATTAAAGATCTATACCAGATATATTCCTTTATAGTTTATTTAGCCCTGAATTTGTGGAAAGGCACTTGCAGGATGGTAAGAAACAAACCATTTCAGTTGGAAATTTGAGTTTAATTTTGTCTGAGAAGTTCTTCAAGCTGTTTCTTAGTATCTTCTGGAGAAATAACTCTGTGCCCAGTAATTCTTGCATCATTATAAATCTCATAGTCATTACCTCCAAGATCAACTTTGTCTCCAAAGAAATGGACAGTCTTAAAACCTTCCTTTTCAATGTGCTTTAAACAGAGCGTCTTGTCCCAGCCATTGGGAAATACATCAAAGCTGATTTGGCCACCTGCCAACACGCAATGAAATGTCAGTACATGAAACAGCAGACCTGATTATCATAAAGAGATAGCAGCACTCACCAATACTGTAAGTTAGACCAAATTCAGGAAACTTGTTCCTCAATTTTTCTATCAAGTTCTTCCGGATGCTGTGTTGCTTATCAAACTGTTCAAATTCATTTCTTTCATCTCTGCTGCAAGATCGCCCTATAGGAGAAATGTTGAGCATACCTGTTCTGAACTCCACAAAAGTGCCCCTCTTGACAGGCAGCTCAATTTGAGACAGACATAAAAGGGTAAAATTGATGAACTTTTGTAAACGCTCTTCACCAAGGAATGATTGAATGCTCTGAAAATTGAAAAGAAAAAGACGTAAAAAGATTGATTTTTTTTACTGGAAATAGTCATCTACCATTCATTGTTCAATTTACCTCTCTGCCGATCTCTGTACCATTTTTAAAAGCCACAACACCATTTTCAGAAAACACAAAATCAAATTCTTTCAAAGCTGAAATCGCAAGATGACAAGATAAATATTGATTTTATCAAAGCAGTGTCTCATAAAAAAATTTATAATAATAATAAGAGGAAGAAGTAAACTCACTATGATCACCACCCATTTGTTCGGTCACTTTTGAAAGATCAGAACCACCAACCAAACCAATGCAGAGTTTAGGTTTAACTTCGTCCATAAGGAATCTATAGAAAGGAGCCTCTATCACCTGGAAAGCAAAACCAGCTAAATTACAAGAAAACTGATGTTTTTTTTTTAAATTGTTGCATCATAACCCACAGGGCATGATAAGAATGATAATTATTTTTTCCTCACAATGAATCGCGTAAGACGAATCCACCATGCAACTAATAATTGTTGTCACCAAAAAAAGAAATTTTTCCTCTTTTTTAAAAAATTTAATGTCAAACTTACCTTGCGCGGGGCTGTCAATGTGCCATCAACATCAAAAAGACACAAAATCTCACGCCTCGGAGCCATGGTGAATTTACTTCGAATTAAAGGTCTTGTCGTGACAAAACCTCTAGATAAAATGCTAGTCAAAAGTGCTGTAGACGCCAGTTTTACTATTCTTTCCACCAAGTTTTCCTACACGTCACACGTATCGGCTGCTCTGTGCTGTCTGCTGCTAGATGTAAACAAAACAACGCCCTCTCAAGGGGAGAGGAAACCGGAACAGAAACTAGAGTGGTCGTAGTGGTCGATTTCGGTTCCTTCAGTTTTATTTTATGAACGTACCCACCCACTGCAGTGCAGAGGACTTTTTGTGTTTTTTGTTCGTTTTCGTTCGCGTTCGCGATATGACGGTTGCTTTGCTTGCTATCGTTTTCAGTTGATAAATTTGATTCGAATTTGATTGTTTATATTAGAAAATGGCGTCTAAAATGGATACCAAGAACGAGGAGAGGATTCCTGTGGACATTTTGTATGACTTAATCAGGCAAGTGCGGGCTATAGTGTAAAAGTAGTTACTTTTAGGTTTGTTGGCCCACATCTGGATTGTTTTGTTTATTATTATGTTCTGCAACCATATATCTAACGTTGGCTCAGGCTCTGCTATACAACACAGATGTCTGTCAATGGTAGACTAAATACATTTTAGAATTAAATTGCCTTTATTATCCAATTGTCCAATATTCTATTGTGCTGTGTTAAACTGTGTTTGATGTGAACAAGTGCATTATCAATCTCTTCTTTACAGTCGATTCATCATAAACATACCTGCTGATGAACGGAAAAATATGGTCCGAATCTGCTTCCAAATAGAAATTGCCCATTGGTTCTACTTAGATTTCTATTGTACAGAGAATCCACAACTGAAAACATGTACAATGAAGGAATTTACAATTCTTATTTTGAAGGTATTTCTAGATTTTCTTGAATCTGCGGCGTAACGGGCCATGCAATTGATTCACTTCACTTTGTCAAATTCGACTTCCTCTGCTAATGAATATTTGCATTCTTTATTGCAGTACATACCAGACATGCAACATCACTTAAAAAATGTGGATTCAATTCTAACAGAATGGAGAGAGTACAAGAGAGCTGTGCCCACGTATGGTGCCATTGTGTTAGATGAAGATTTAACTCACGTATTACTTGTCCAAAGCTATTTCGCTAAATCATCTTGGGGCTTTCCTAAAGGAAAAGTGAATGAAGAAGAGCCGCCTGCCAGATGTGCAGTGAGAGAAGTAGGTTGCTTAAATATCATCTCTGCTACTTCTAAATACATGAGCCTTGTCAAATTAAATTATTGTTTTATCTTCTTACAGGTTTTTGAAGAGACAGGATTTGATATCAGTAATTTAATAGAAGAGAATTCATTTATAGAAATCACATGGAACGATCAGGCTACACGTTTGTACCTAATTCCCGGAGTAGATAGAAAAACTGTGTTTCGTCCAAGAACACGCATGGAAATTAAAGCTGTGGAGTGGTTTCCCTTGGCTGATTTGCCTGATCGCAAGAAAAGCAACACCAAGGATGCCACTACACCTAAGCCTAAGAAGGGTCCCAGTAATCCCAACAATTTTTTCATGGTTCTACCATTTGTAAAGTAAGTATTTTATCATGTTTATCGAAAGAAAACGAGGCTGCTTGCCTGCATGGACTTGTTAACGTAGCTCTTTTTAATAATTTAGGAAAATACGTGCATGGGTCAATCAAAGGCAGCCTCGAAGACAACGCCATAAATCTGTTACCGATGCTGATATGCTTGGACGTCAGCATCACACCTCAGCCTTTGAAAATGGTGACACTCAACCAAAGGTCATGACCCAACAACAGATGTACACTTCAGTTTTACAGGTGAAAACCTTCACACACTATAAACAATTGTATTCAGTGACTGTTTTGCTGATTTTCTATCAATCTTTTTACCAAATTTACAGGATGAGGTTCAAGAATTCAAATTGATGAGACAGCTCAGAGTAAATACTCCTCAAAGTGCGCCCCCAAGACCTCAGGGTCTTTCAAGAAGGGACAGATCATCTATCAAGCGGCAACTGTTCACTGGTCAGTTTCAAATAATCTTTGCTGTTCAGTGCTAGATGGTACAACAGAAACTGGTACTAAGGAAACCTTTTTTTCTTGTAGGTGATGAAGAAAAGAATGGGCTTGTGGCTCGGGTCCAACAAAATGGTGGCAAGAACAGTAACTCTCGTCAAAATGGATCCACCTCAAAGCAGCCTCAACCATTCTCAGCACGATCCTGGACAAATTTCAAATTTGACAGGGCCGCTATTTATGCTTCTTTGCCAGCCTTGAGACCTGTTATTGTGAATTAAACCTTTTTCTGCTTTTTTCAGGGTATTAGTCTCCCTAATTGAAATAAACTTTGACCTATGGGATCAGAATCTAGCCATGTAGGCCTCCTTCAATTCAGTGAGAAATTTTAATGTTGACTGGCATTTGACAATCTCAAAACCATGGCTAATGATCTTGGTGCATACTGTAGTACTAAAATTGAATACCTAATCAATTTTGCAATTGTATGTACTATCTCTTTCTTCTTCTTTTTTTTCTTCCCCCTTCTGGAGGGGTGAAGTGTATTTGTTTGTCACCCTCCCATTTTGCACAGCAGGAAGGACCTATTTGTTTTGTAAAGTCTTGCTTAACATTATCTATTATATCATGTTATGGTGCAATTTCCTCATTACAGTAGTTCTACTTGGTTTTCAATGTGTGTGCATTTAAAGTTAAATTGATTCAGGTGTAAATGTGTCTAAAATTTGGGTTGTGGTTTCTATAAGGGTTGGTCAATGTTCTGTGATTGAAAGATGAAAACTATTTTTATTTTAAGTGGATATGGCATGGGCAGGAGTCTTCTAATGCAAGATGAGAACTAGTGTCTATATGTATTGAAGATGTACTTCAAAAGACTGTGAATATTTATTTTATAGTTGGGTGGTTTGGAAGTTATTGGTACAAAAAAGCAATTCCGCTGAATAACCTCCTACATCAATGTGTCTATAGACCTCCTTTTATAGTTTTACTTGTAACTGATGTCTCTGCATCATTGTTGGCTTCAAAGCAGATTCTTTGTCATCATATTCTAATGATTCTGAAAACTCAATTTTATTGTCTTTCTATTGTCACCTCTCCTCTTCTTTGTGTTTTTTATTACATGACTCATGGAGCATAACATTAGTACGGTTACCACATTTTTGTAAGAGATCCTCATAGTGTTAGATGATGTCGCAAGGATTGGCCTCTCTGTTTCTTTGTGATGTTTTATTTTATCATTGAAGAAACTGTTGGTTCATGTGACATTCTAGTGGATCAACCTTTGTTTTGGCTAATGATGGATGTGTCTGTCAATACATAATTGATATGACCATCATTAGCTTATTGCAGTTTTCTCATCACTGCATCTTACCAAATCTGAAAAAAGTCCATTGGGTCAGGGAATTTCATATTTCAATTTCCAAGTCATGTACTACTGTTGCTTATGAAATCCATCCATTTCTGTGCTTATCTGATTCCTTGGACTTTTTCCCGATTTTATGTGTGTTATTTTATGTCCTTCTTGATTAGAATGTCTGTCTCAGTCTGTCTCAGTGCCACTGTACAGAGGATTGTATTGAATATTATATCAAAATACTCGCACAGAACACTCAACAAAGTTACCTTTGAGATAGTGACTTAATGCACCGGTGACATTGTGTTCCTATCTTTTTTATTATGTAAGACAGTATTTGCTCAGTGTTTTGAGCAGTGCTGGGTCTTTAATTGATCCACTGAGCTATTGTGATTCCTTGTCTAACATTTCTGTGCCTTTTGAAATCATAAAGCATGTCTTTGAATGTTTATACATATTCTAATCATGAACACCGCAGAGATTTAAATTGCATAGTTGGAGACAAGATTTATTTGTTCCTACTAAATCACTATGTTGCAGTTTGTTTCTGACTTGCATACATTCAAGGCTTGCAAATACAACATATTTTCATATTTTGATAAGCCATGACTGACCATTACTGCCTATATGGAGCATCACCTGCCTCTAACCACTTTTTTAAAAATTTATTGTAAATGGAATAAGAAGGGAGGTGAGCTACATTTGTATTATAATGGTACAAGTGGTGTTAAAGCTATGCACAGAAAACCAAAACTTAAAAACTAATTGCAAAAGGTTTCCTTTGCATAATTTGTCACCACTCACCATTCCCCATAAATGGCTTCTCATAATTAAAAGAAAAATGTTATGTTCACAAGCTCTGCTTACATTAATTTTTATCTTTGTGGCCATAAATATTGCATATTGTTCCTCTTTAGGATTGTGCTAAATTACCCTTTTCTTGTAAATCCGTTAATTGTTTCATCAAGTAATCTGAAAGTCTTGCTCGAAACTAATTCTCGGCGTTATCACTGTTACATGTGAGCACAATTATTATTATCTGTGAAGGAATAATAAACAACATGTTTGTTACTCTTATTTAAGCAGCTCTACAGGCAGTGATTTCTTACTGGAATGTATTTTAATTCAAGTGTGCGTTGCTGTTTGATAAAGTGGATAAAGGCCTATACGCATGTATTAAGACTGATATGAGAATATTATAGAGTGCATCATTGCTAATCAACAATATTACACCTTTGTTACTTCATTGTTGATACAATTTCTTCTGGCATGTTAATCACTCAAGTATTTGGAATGCTATGTACTTAAAGTGATTTGTAATCAAAATTTGTGATTTTTACTAACTGTATTGACAGTACACTTATGTTCCAATCACCCTCCTCAGATGCATGGTGTATGGCATATCCATAATTTTGGATTGTCCTTTGATTTCTTGACTTTGATCTGTCAGATATTTCACATACATATTATAAATATTGAATTCAGAACATCACTATGGAGCAGCCAACATTTCAGTTTCGTAGGATTTATCTTTACTTTACCTACTAAAGGTAGAAACTGGCAATAATATTTTTAAACGTCTTGTTTCTTAAAGGCTGGTTCAATGTTGTCAATTTTCTTGAACAGTAGTTGAACAAAATCAATAATTAATGCTTCATTCACTAAAAGTGTGTCTGTATTTGTATCATAAATGACTCAAGACCCTATCAAAGTTCAAACTAGCAACCTTTACAATGTCGTCTCACTGATTTTGATGAGTGCTTTCATTCATTTCAAACTTTTTCACATGTGAGCAAAGTTTTCCATTTTTCTTTCCTTTTTTTTTCCTCTTATACTTGTTGTGCAGTTGGCAGCATACGTATTTTGTGATAAGTTTCAAAATTGATTGTGGAGCGACTCTCGTCCTACATTGTCGCCAATAAAGCCACTTTTTGATGACCAAGTTCCGCCTTTCCTTCATCACACATGCCCGACTCGCCCTCACTTTTCAAAACCAAAGAAAATGCCAATTACGTTATGAACAGATGACACATTGAAAATAAAAATGATCAACTGCTTACTGTCACATGCAACAGCCTGCTGTACAGTCCTACATTCTGGCAGAAGGGCATGCCGCACCGCGCGTCTAGAGTCCTAGGACAGGACTCTACGCGCGTCATGCGCGCGCTTCTCCCAGGGGTATATCACTGCAGGGACACACTTGCAGCACCCTGCGGCGCCGCAGCGCGAACCGGCCGAGTATGTAATCAAAAGATTTGAGTTACCACGTATTATTGAATGATTTTCTTGTCTTATCCCGTTAAAAATATTCTTCCAGCAATATCTGCATTGGAACACACTGTCGTCAACGAACTGGAGCGAGTCCAGGACTTGCTTCTAACCTACGTTGTGGGGAAAGGCCAACATGGGTGAAATAAGTGGAAACAATTCAATGCTCCATCATTTAATTGAATTAGGATGCTGCAAGTTGTGCTGTTTGAGGTACCTTGGAGAACGATCGCCAAGTGCATACAAAAATCCTGTTGACACTCTTAAAAAGGTACATGGTTGATAATATTTGCTGTCCTTTTGACGAAGTTTGTAGTGGTAAATAAACATCTTACTTCTAGAAATATTTGCTGCTTGAGGATTGTGAAGTTGAAGAGAACCCTTCCAAATTAAAGAAAAGCAATGTCTGCTTAGCCTGTTTAGGTTTACTCCAGGAAAACTTGAGAGAAACTGTCATATCAAAGGTATTTGTTACGTCGATTCACCTTTCGCACTATGTCTTCTTCTAATTTTATTGTTCTGTGTGGCTTTTGTGCCGTACTTTTTTATCCTCCTTTTTTACAATGAATATTTTGCTTAGTTTGGCTTTTGTTTGGCATTTCCAGATTGTATCTGACGTGAATGATGCTGATTATGACTGCCAGGAATTCTCATGTGCGTTGTCGATGCCTGTCAGCTTTTGTCTCAGAACACATTCATTAAATTTATATTTAATGGATAAATTTCCTGACCCATCCGAGGACACAGCTGAAATTCGATTTGTCTCTGTAAAAGATGTCTGGAAATGGGTCGCTGCTTCAGAAATTGCTGATGGAATTAAGAAGTCCTTCAGTCAGTCCAATGATTGTGATTTTTCAATCACTATAAGCATTGGCTATGATGATGATGAGAAGGAATGCAATTGCTTGTAATAATGTTTGTTCCATTATCGTAAATTTCTGGTCTATCTGATCATGTGATCATGAATTTTTAATCTTTCTTTCACTTTGTTTTTTAGAATGGAAATGCACAAAGAGACATATGATGTCAGAAAGAAACAGACTCGAAAATTTAAAGATTGCCTATTATCTCGGAAATCTGTTGAGGCCTTACTTCTCACAACAAAACCAGACCACTTTCAGAAGTACTATCCCACTCCTCCTGAAATACCCAACAATGCTGTAAAATGTGCTTCTGTATCTTTACATCACAACTCATTATATGTTGCAGGTACAATAGTTTGTTTTAACTTATTAAGATCTGCCTGATCTGTCAACTTCAGTTTTTCACTTGTTTATTTGTTTTTGTGTTTGGCAGGTCGTTATAACAAATTTTCTCGCAAGCTTAGTCAAACACCATGGCTTATTGGGGGTGAAAGACTAATGGAGAGCTCTGTCCAGGAACTCCTATGTGATCGAATAGTTCAGTTGGCTAAAGCTCAAGGTAGAACATATCACTTCTTGCCAACTGAGGCTACTCCCCCTCGTATCGTGCAAATTCCTAATCCAAATCTGTTCTAGATCTTCGTTTCTCATCATCTGGAAGGGAAGATGTTGATGTGCGCATGTTGGGTCGTGGGAGACCTTTCTTTTGTGAGTTGATAAATCCACATCGAGTTCACTTGGAACCCAAACATTTCCGTGCCATAGAGAGAGAAATTTTGTCAACCACGAAAGATGTATCAGCCAGACATCTACAGATTGTTTCAAAGTAGGAAAATAGTATTTCTGATACATTTTACCACAATTTGGAATTGTTATCCTTAAACTTTATTTCTTACTTGAATCTAGGGATCAAGTCGCACAAGTCAAGACCGGAGAGGAAGAAAAAATAAAAATTTATAGTGCTTATTGCATTATGTCTGGAGCTGATGCAACTGTGGATTGGGCAAAGTTGGAATCTCTCTCTTCCAAGTGCCCCATAGTTCTTCAACAGAAAACTCCAATAAGAGTGTTGCATCGCAGGAGCCTTGCCACAAGGGAACGATCCATATTTCGACTGGAAGTTAGCAAAGCGGAAACACAAGAACCCAAAGCATTTGTTCTTAATATGGCAACACAAGCTGGCACATATGTAAAGGAATTCGTGCATGGTGATTTTGGGAGAACCACTCCTAGTTTGAGAGATTTATTAGGTTCAGATGTTGATATTTTAGCTTTGGATGTTAAGGTAGGAATGAGAAGCCCAAATCATTCCATTGGAATTGGCTCACCCAGGAATCACTCACATTGAGATTTGATATTTGCAGGATATTGAGTTGGACTGGCCTCCAGAGATCTTACCGGACAATCAAGACTGATCTGTGTATGTTTGCTGTGAAGTGGGACGAAAATAAATCAAACAATCAACGTTCACAAATTTACTGTGCAAAATTGGATTTATCACCTTTCCCTTCGTAAGTAGAACTGTACCTAGATGGGAAAACAAAACCATGTTCACACTAATACTAATTTTCTTATTTGGCACAATTGAATTCACAGACAATGCATGGACATTAAAATGCCATCCACTCTACAATAAATAAATAACTGCTCAGCATACCACAAAATTGAAACTTATTTTGTAAAGTCATCAGAATAACTCAAAAGTATTAAGTATTTTTGTTTTATCTCAAACCACAAGTTCGAAAGAACAGTTGCAGACACTGTGCGTGCTACTTGAATTTGTGGTTTGATTTCCATGTAAGACGCTTTTAACTCAATATTACAGCAGTTCCACAGATGAAATTGATGATCACATTTTTAAATTTTGTCTTATAATCTAAAATTGACAAATTAAACACAGAAAACACAAATAAGTTTGCCTGTCTCTGAAATCAATTGATGGTTAGCAAAAGACAGTATCAGCAAAAGACTACTTTGACAAAAGTGTGCTGTAAACTCTCTAAACTTGATTTGATTTGACATTTTGTGATTTTTGTTGGGCAGTAAGAAGGGTATACTTTTAAGAACTCAGTTGTAACGTCTTTGCTCAATGTGACTAGCTCTAAAAATTAATGTTAACAACCAGGTACATTAAATTTGACAGCATCAATTATTTTATCACTCATCACGTTAAACACAGTTTTGGGTTTTATTAATAGATTTTGTCATCTTTACAATTTGATATTGGACTGAAACAGTTTTTTTTGCCTTAAAGTAAAGAAAGTAAGGTATGTGTTACTACTCTTTTTTCTTTCAGAAGAACTCATGTTAAACTGTTTAATCAATTGCCTTGATGTATGTTCAAATATAATGTAGACCACTCTGGTTTCAAGGATCACCTTCTGTGATTTGGTGACTCTGAATTGAACTGAGATAAGCGATGGAACATATTCCGCTTTTATAGGTTTGCTACAAATTCTGGAAGATGTGTCTAAAATAAATAACTCTTTCTATTCTTAGGCCGTAAAATATCACAATTTTGTTATACAGCAAAAGTAATATCAATGAAGTGACAAAACAAATTGCAAGTCTCTTATTTCCTACATTAAAGAATAAGTTCTTGCTGTTCCTTGCCCTTCTCTAGCAATTTTTTGTGGCATTAACAGAAGTCCCAAACATCAAAAATTAATTTTTTGAGATAAAATAACATTTTACTATGAAGTAACTGAAATAATTTAGCCAGGATCCCTCCATAAATTCTGAATTGAACATGTCCCCCCCTCCCAATCTATTTTTGAAGATAGTGATCAAACATTCCTCAAAATGATAATGTCAAAATGAAAAAACTTTATGACAGATGCCAAACTACTCGTGAGGCTAAGATGAAAGATGAAAGAACATCTACAAGACACTCACTTCTTTTTCATGTATTTATGCCTAGCTTGGTGTAGCTGAATTTCAAGAATATGAGCACCAGATCCAATTAGTGAAAGAACAATGAAGATGATGGCATGTGTCAATGCATACAGTTGAACAGCTGTGCTAACCAGCATTAACCATATAGCTAAACAAATCAACCCTGTCCAGAAACACAATGCCAAGCATAAGGCAGTTTCAGTAGGCTCTTGTTCTCTTCTTTCCATTTCTGAGTCTGCTGCTTTGAAGTAACCATCTTTGTAAAATTGACAAAGTTTGTCTTCCTTTTCTTTCCACCTTTGTGCTAACCAGAGCTTCAAGTCATTTTCTGACTCTGGTATATCTGCCAGATTGTACCTAAAAAAAAAAATAATTTGAAAAATGATGATTGTTATCATTTTTGTTATTATTATTATTATTATTATTATTATTATTATTATGAAATGAGGAATAAGATTTTGCTCTTTGAAAAGCATGTGGTTTGTACCTTTTAAAATGAAAGTGGATCTCCTCTGGAACACTACCTTGAAACAAATCCACCTCACTTTGCACTAGAGTTCTTGGATATCCCACGGAGACATCGTAAATGGCGTCCAGATGTTTATCTGCAGAAAAAGGAAAGCGTGTGCTCTCTTACAAAGTCTTTAAGAAGAACAGTGCCGCACACCGCCCCTCGCCCCTCTACCGGCGGGAAGGTGACGGAGGGGGTTGCCTACTTGCAGGAATGCCAAGAGGGTTGCCTACTTCGCGACTCGGGGGTTTACCCTCTAGTTTACCCGGGCGTTTTGTAATCCTGGCTGAGGAATGGATTACCCCCCCCCCCACACACACACACACACAATACACACACCCCTAAAACTGGCAGTATGTTTCTTGTTAGCCTCAGCGATGCGTGCTATTTTTCATGGCTGTCATCACTCTGCATCAGGTGGATTGAAAGGAGAGGGGGATGGGTATAAGCAGCACCAAGATCTGTAACCCCCCCCCCTTTTTCCCTCAGACGAAGCGCGGAAAGAAAGGGGGACTTCCCCATCCCCAGCCCTCCCGCACCACGGGCCTCGCGCCGTCGCTGGCAGGGACTGAACCGAAGCTATAAGGCCATGATAAGTACACTCCAAATCTAGAATGTGCACTTACACTGCCGCATGGTGTCTGCCAGGAACACGAAGCCGGTGGTCTTGGGGTGCAGCACGAACTTGTACTTGGGCAGGCCGTGGGTGTCCGCCCAGCGGTCGCTGCGCGCCGTGCTCTGCGCCGTCAGGTCGGTGCCTTCCGGGAACAGCAGGATCTGGGCAGAGAACATACGACGCTAGTGACTCCCTGCCACGAGCTTCCTTTTCCCTCCGCCCGACCTGGCTGCGCCTGGCTGACCTGGCAGGTGTGGTTGGTGTCCTTGAAGAAGCGGAGGCTCTGCGCCAGCAGCTGCTGGTCCTTCTCCCAGTTCCTGTGGATGTACAGGTGGCACGCCATCTGCATGACCCAGCCTGCGGATCAGGGAACGGAAGCCAACAGCGTTAAGGTGATCCCACAATGGGTCGGTGGGTCCAGCAGGTCGAGGTACTCTACCTGGCCCCGGCACGTGCGCGATGGGCGCCTTGAGGACGAACTTGAGGCGGCTGGCCTGCGGGCCGCGGCGGGCCGCGAGGTGCATCCCCGCCCACAAGAAGTTCCAGTCCAGTCTGGTGCGGTGGTTCATGACAAGCAGCGACCGCTCACCGCCGCTCACCGCGTCGCCCGTCACCACCACCATGGTCCGCAGCACCACGCGGATCAGCGCCTGCAACAAGGAGCCCGGCTTCGAGTCTCGGTGGCGGAGCGAAGGCGGAGCTCTTTCGTCTAAAGTCGTTTTCGTCGCTCTGTCTCTCTCGCACTTTTAGGGATGTCCAATGAGTGCGAGAGAGACAGCGACGATGACGGCTCTCGGAATCAGTCTGCTTGCTGAGCCTTGCTTGGCCTTGAAGCGGCCTTCAGGCCTCACCGCGGGGTAGAGCTCCCACATGGCGAACACGATGTCGATGCAGACGCGGTAAGCGCGCGGCCGCAGCACCAGCAGGGGCAGCAGCGGGCAGCACAGCAGCAGCCAGCCGCTGAGGATGGACGCCAGCCACAGCCCGCAGAACACGGCGCCCCGCGCGTGCCGCCAGCAGTGCCGCCAGCACAGGGCCATCTTGGCCATCTGCAACAAGAGCACCATCGCGGTGAAGCACGCAGACGACCAAGCAGTAGACGGATTCCGAGAGTCGTTTTCGTCGCTCCATCTCTCTCGAACTCTTGGGGCGTCATCTCAGGTGCGAGAGAGACAGAGCGACGAAAACACGACTCTCGGAATCAGTCTTCACAGCCATGCACGTGCCGCGCTGGCCCGTTCCCGTTCTCCCCTCGTTGGATTCGACAGGTGTTCCATAAGCTCCGCGCTGCGCCGCGGTCGTAGCCAGACCAGCCAGACTGCAGACATCCCCAGGGGGGCTTTGAGGAGGGGGAGAGGCCCGCCGCGCGCTCGCCTCACGCTCCCTTCCCGCCCTGCTCCAGCCTTCCAGCCTGCAGCCCTTCAATATCGAGATCGCGGCACCGACAGTCCTCAGGGTGTCTCGGTTTCGGTGCTGAGGACAGGACCATGACCATGGAGCATGGAGCAACCCGGTCATGGTAACCCGGTGTCCGAACTGTTGCTGCGCTTGTGCTTCCCACGGCGTGCCGCGGGGATGGATGGTGCTCTCCAACTTGTTCGCGGCGGGCAACACGTGCACGTCGTCGCAACGTGCCTCAGCCACCTGGTCCATGTCTGCATCGGAGCGATGCAGGAGCTTCACGATGCACGGCAACCAGGGCTCCGCCGCGCTGCGCCGCTTGTTCCTGCCCGCCACCCCGACCACCACTATCTTGGCCTACAGGACCGCGCTCGCTGGCCGCCCAGCAGACTGATTCTGAGAGTCGTTCTCGTCACTCTGTCTCTCTCGCGCCTGTGCGGGACGCTCCATGAGTACGAGAGAGACAGAGCGACGAGAAAGACTCTCGGAATCTGTTTGCTGGGCGGCGCGGCGCTGCGCGCGGCATCAACAGTCGTTACGGAGGCGTTGACACTTGGGACCCGCCACGCCGTGCCGAGCCGCGCCTCCGAAAAGCGACATCCGCAGCAAAACAAGAAATGAGCAAATCAGTAGCGAGTGGCGTACCGTGGACGAGCGAGGCCGCTCCTGGGCCGTGTCCGGGCCTCCCCGCCTCTCCGCCGACGTCCGTCCGACGTCCGACGTCCCTTGCGACGCCACACCGCGACGCCTCCCCACGCCGCGACGCCAGCTCTGGACCCGAGCTGGGCTCCGGACCTCTACTGCCACCCCTGTGCCTCTCAAAGCAGCATCGGCTGCCGAGCGCGCGGCCGCGCGGCGCAAACCTCCCCCTCCGTACTTCCCCACCACGCCCCGCCGCGCCGCCCACCCCAGACACGCGAGGGTAGCAGTAGCAGGGCTAGCTGGGCGAGCTGGGCCAGCAGGGGTGGGAGGCGGGGAGGCCGCCCTTCTCCCCTTTCCTCCCCTGCTGCCGTGGCTTGGTGGTCCATCTCCGTCCCTCCCACGCTCCGGACATAGGGCGTACGAGAGTACCCGCGACGCCGTTCCCGGGGCCTGCCGCGGCACGGCGGGGCGGGGCACGGCGGCGGGGAGAGGCGGAGCGTGGCGTGAACAATCCGATCGGGTATCGGGTATGGCTCGGCGTGGGCAGGCGTGGGCGGACGGACAGGCACCGGGATGCAACGCCAGGCTCTCAGAGCCTATCGATCGGCCGCGGGCGGGGGGAGGCGGGGCGGCTCATGAGGTGGGCAGGGCGCGACTGGAGTAGGCAAGAGGCTGTGTTTACTGCGAGGCGCTAACAACGGTGTGGCGGCGCGGGGCGTGTGGGCCGGGGCCCTAACACGGGGCGGCGCGGGCGCGCTCCAAGGACGAGAAGGAGAACGAGAACGCGCCGCCCGCTGACGGACATCTTTCAGTGAGAGCCTCTGCCCCGGCGCCCACCGGCGCCTCTGGAATGCACCGCCTCGGCCTACCTCAGCCACGGCACGGCCTTGGCTGCCTTGGCCACACGCCCGGCAACAAGATTTCCCTCGAGGACGAGCGCGAGGAGGAGGAGGGGCCGCGGAGTGCCGGAGTGGAGGCTTCAACTTCAAGCACAGCCCCTCAGCTCAGGCGGCCGCGTCCTGTATCGCCGGCAAGGCTGCTTCTTGAGGGATGGCCGGGGATGGCCTCGGCCTCGTCGAGTACCCCTTCGTGCTCGGCCGCCCTGGGCCGCCCCGCGCCGCCGGCCGGCCAGCGGGTCGCGTGCTCCATGCCGCCCGCTCGGCGCCTTCCCCCGGGCCTCTAGGCCTTCCCTGCTCCCCATGACGTGGCCCGGGCCGTCCTGAAGCCCCGAAGGGCCGCAGGGCCGAAGCGCTCTATCGGGGCGCGTAGTCCGCAGGGTGAAGGCACGACGGGGAAGCCCTTCAACGCGGGGAGAGCGCCGCGCCGCGGACTGTGGCAGACTCACTCCGAGCGGGAGGGGAGGGGAGGTGTCGCTCCCGCAATGGAGCATCCCGTATGGATGCGAGTGGGACAGGCCGCCGTCTGCAGACTGATTCCGAGAGTCGTCTTCTTCGCTCTGACTTTCTAGCACAGATGGGGTGCCCCGTATAGGTGCGAGACAGACAGAGCGTCGATAATGACTCTCGGCATCAGGCTACAAGGCTCCACGCATCTCCGCGAAGAATGTGTCTTTTGGGGAGGCACTAATGCGAGCGCCGCTCCTGGCGCGGCCATACTGACACCCGGTCCAGGGCCGGACTGGCTCATAAAGGGCCCCGGCAGAAAATTGTCATAGGGGCCCCTGCTTCTCCCCCCCCCCCCGGTCCACGACAACTATGTGATTTTCCCTGACTTTTGAAATCGTAGAAATGATATAATTACCCAGGGATTGTTTCTGATGCTTGCAGCAAAAACATTAGCAGCGGAAACTGCGAGCGAAGCGAGCTTCAAATTTTTTCTAATGCAATTTAAATTTTTTCCTGAAAAACGGGAACATGCAATAATCTTCAGTGAGCTGGTTCACAGCAAACTAAAACATTGTTGCAAGTTTTTCAGGAACTGACCTGGACCTGCTAGGAACTCATCGAGCTGATGATAGACTTGTTTCACGCGATTCCGCATTACTATGCGAGCGAAGCGAGCAAAAAGCTAAGGCCTATTGTGTGTTCAAAATGCAATACCTGCCAGTTTGTAAAGGGGCAGTACTACGAATTAAAGGTATTTCGAGTCGATTCTGTGGCCCAGCGGCCACAGAGGCCTCGCAACTGTAAGTTGGGGGGCCCCGGCACGCCGCGGCTCCGGCATATTTTTCTGCCCAAATGCCCTGGCCAGTCCGGGCCTGACCCGGTCCAGCCGTCCGGCCCTCCCAGGGGCGGCGTCGTCGCCGTGGGGGCACCCCTGGGGGGCATTCCCCAATTCCCCGACAAGGGGAACTCTTTTGCCTATTAACAGGAGGGAGAATCGCGAGTTTACTTTAACACCGCGCTGTGGTGTGTCGAATGGATGGCCTACCTTCACGGCGCTATTGTCCAGGGCGCAACCAGCCAATGCAGGCTTGACCAGCTTGACCCAGGCAACCCACACGGCAGAGGTCCCCCTTTGGAATTTGAACGCGTCGGCGCCCCCGAGCACCCCCAGTCCTCCCCAGCGACCTTTTATCGTTGCAGGGTAGGTCAGTGTACGTCACGGATAACATAAGGGAGAGTACAGCAGACGACGTCCATAGTGTGTGTGTGAAGCACGCCTGAACTTCACCTTGAATTGTTTAAAAAATTGGCAACAAAATAAAAGAAAACCCACAGAATTTCTTAAAAAAAAACCAAACAAATGTATTTTTCACCAATGTGAAGGCACCAGCCGCTCGCTTTCCAAGTTGTTTAAACTCATAGCAAAACACAACAAGGAAAGAAAGCAGTCACTCATATCGGAAACATGGAAACAAATAGCAAATTAAACTTTCTTTGGACATTATCATGATATTTCAAAGCGGAAGAACCTACATTCACATTTCTTATGACTTCAACCCACATTCACCACACCACCTTCCCATTTTTTTTTTTATTTTTTTTTAAATGGAAGATGAAATACCTAATCATAAGGTCCACACACCACTAACTTCTAATAACTTAGACTCTATATGAAGACAACAACAATAAATAACAGTTAATTCCTATTTCCACAAATATTGTGTGCAATTGTAAGAGCACAAACTTATTATTTGGATAAGAACTGCATAGTCAATTCCTAGGGACTAAAGTAAAACATAATTATAAACTATTACATCACCACAGCCCTTCAATAGAACTTTGTCATTTAGAAAAACTACACATTGTCCTGCAATTTCAACTTATCAATAAGATATTGGCTTAAAAGCCGGGAAGGATTAGGGAATCTAAAACAAGGCAATTATGACTATGAGAGTGAGAGCCAGTTCAGGACAGACAAGGTCAGTTGAGCTGAGTGTACATCAAAATAAAGGAGGAGGACATTTCATGTGACACACAGCCTAAGATTAGACTTAATAACATTAAAAAAAGACACACACCAGTACATGAGAGCAATAGACTAGACATAATGTGAGCATCATAAATTTTATAGTTTTGTATGTTTACTCCAACAGTGATGAATGTAATGTTTTGTACATATCATGTAGTATGACTGTGACACAAACAAAATGCATGGCCTCTCCCAATAGATTACAACAAAAAAGGAAAAGAGCTTCTTCAACTAGCTTTAGATTAAGGAGTTAACTGAATTACCAGGAACAAAAGGTTCAGCAGACCATTATTCAATCAACTAACTTCATTCTTATCATAGTGGACAGTGGAATGAAACAGGCAGTAGAATATAAGTCACAAAAAATTAAGTAGCCAAGAAGAACTGACATTCAGTTCATATTCTGCTTACTGTAGTCAAATAATTAAAGACCACAACAACAAAGACAAGTATTTGTGCAAAGCAAAGATGATCTTGAGTTCAGAGTTCGTCACAGATAAGAGCTTTTACAGTAAGAACAGGTTTTACATGTATTTAACACACACAAGGTAGGACCTCGACAAAAAAATAACCTTAGGATAACATTTAAGATGCATCATGAATCGTCAAAGATCTTTGAGGAATAATTTGGGAATGACATGTTCCTGACTGAAGTGTGAAGATTTCATCACTTATTTCTTACATAACTTAACTACATACACAGCTTACAAAAAAATACATGGGCAAAGAAAATTTAAACTACCCGTCAACATTCTACGTAACTCTAATTTTTAAAATGAAATAAAAAGAAGTCTTTAGCTCGTTTTCTTTCTGTATCCGCTGTAATTTGATAAAAGGTTTTGCACCTCCAACTCAACCAATTCATCCTAAGGAAGAAATAAGTAAATTTTAGGTATGAAATTGAGCAGTAATTATTATTCTGGTATATTAACTTCACCTACCTCACAACTGGTAACAGGAATGGAGGCAGCATCATCCAACCAATGAACTGCATCAGCATATTTTCCCATGGCAATGTAACACTTCGCAAGGTAAAGAGAATTTTCCTTCCATGGAGTGGGGTTTAATTTGTGTGCGGCTTTGAAATCTTCAATTGCTTCTGGCAGAGTTGCAGCGGGAACTTCAGCAAACAAGGTGCCTGCTACTTTCCTCTCTATCCAAGATAAATTTGCGACCTAAACCAAAATGGAAAAGAAACATTTGAATTCACAATAAACTGATTGTGTTCATTGTAAGCAATCATTCAATTACCTCATGCTTAAAACGGCCGACAAGATGCCGCAGGGAAGCATCATCTGGCCTCAGGGTAATGGCTTTTTCAACATGGGTTTTAAATACATAACCACCCTCAATTTTGTCTTTCATCCCCAGATAGTCACCATATGCTCCAGTCAAGACTGCATACCATTTGTGTGCCTCTGCCTCATTGCTATCAAGATCTAAGGCACGTTTGGCATAATCCAGACCTGAGACAGAGAATGCAAAAAATGTTGCCCATGAGGTGACAGAAAAAAGAGAAACGGTAACACAAAAGAGTGTACAAACCTTCAAGAATGAACTCTTTTTTTTGTTCTAAATGCCCCATTGCTGCACATGCAGATCCTAGACCATGGCAGCATTTTGCTAGACGCCACAAAATAGCAGCAATTGGTTCATGCTGAAAATTAAAATATTGCAACTTGCATACAGGTCTTTCTAGTTTCTAGCATCTATATTTTAAAATAGGATTAAAAAGACATAAAAAAAGGACAATAAATAGTTAAAGTGCACCTTGGAGAGATAGGAAGTCAGTTTAGAATAAGCTTCTCTTCGAGTTTCTGATGTTCCTGTCTTTAGAAGAACATCCACATCTTCAAGCAAAGCCTTCAAAGCTTCATCTAGCACAGGACTTAAAGCATCTTTGTCACTGAAAAGTTTGTCATAGCATAGGTCAAGGCTAAACATAAAAATAAATCATTTCAACAAATTGCTTTACCAACTTTGACTTACAATTCATCTTCCCCACCAGATGACAGATCGAAAAACTCATCTTCTTCGGAATCATAATTACTCACTGTCCTACAGCTGCGTAAAGACCGAGTTGGAGAGCTTCTTCTACTTGAGTGGGCTTTCCGAATCCTAGTAAAATAAAACACAAGGCAAGGCAATGACTACATGCACAGAAAATGATTTTTTTTTCATAAATCCAGTAAACAACCCCAACCTTGCAGCTTCAAGCTCTGCTCGTAGTTGGTTGACAGTTAAATCAAGGCGAGAAATTTCTTGCTGTAACATAACTCTTCGTCGCGACTCATAAAAATAATTCCAAAGGACAACTCCTGCTGCACCAAGCACAGCACACGCTCCCAAGGCGACTGTAATGATATTGCTAAAAAAAGATAAGATAAGTGATTAAATCACATTCAGAAATTGACACCATCACAGACAATTTGCAAAATGACAAACGATCCAAAATAAATTGAGGAAAGTAAACAGCACTTACCTTTGCTGGTTCATTTTCAGCAATTATCTAAAAATGACAGGTAGGCAGTGATTCCTGAGGCTGTTATGATCTCAACAGCGTTCTTAAATAAAAAGATAAATTCATTTTGGGGTTTGCAACATCCAGCACCACCAGCAGGTTAGCCCTGATTACTTTCAGAGCTGTCTTCTGTACAGCACTGCAGAACCCGCTAGATTAACTTCAGCATGCTAATACAGACAAGCAAAGTAAAGGACAGCGGTTCAAAGGTTCAAGACAAGAGGGTATGAACCGTTTGTTGAGCAGACAGGTGAACAGGTTCCTCCCTCCTCCAAGTAGCAAGTACTTTATCTGCAGGACGAAATTTGCCCCTCGTTATTTGCAGGACGAACACGTATGTATGAGAAATTGTGAGACCAAAACACTACAGGCAGGACCGGAACTAGCCGGAACACGCATTTTCAAGTCAAAGAAAAATTATCACGATCACTTCTTTGATTCTCTTCAGAAACCAACAAACACTGATAACCACGTCTATGTTGGAATCTTGGTGTCTATGGAATCATTGGAATGACCTTTGTTTGAAAACATTGACCGGAAACCGGAAACCCATCTGAATATGAACGTACCCTACAGGAAGACTTGTCGGGTGGCGGGAACAGTGCAACACCACCACGTTTGGCGGTTGGTATTTGGAGACGTCGCCGTTGAAATTTGTCCAAGTTATTTAAATCTCCTCCACAGCTTTACGATGGCGCCACCCAAGTTTGTTGCACCGTTGAAGAAAACAAGCGGCGAAAGCTCTCTCTCATCTTCTTTCTCTTCAAGTGGCAGCCAAGGAAATGGGAATAAAGTTGCTAAAGCTGCAGAGGTGCAGGCTCAGATGGTTCAGGTAACGTCCTGCTTTTCTCTTGGTCAAATTGTTGTGTTCTTTGTGTTGCCTTGTTTCTACATTCTTTCATTGCATTCTATGGCTTTTAATTTGTAGTCAAAACCAAACAAGGCTGCTATCGTGTCTGGTGTTAAGGCTCCCAGAGAGTCCCCCAAGGAGCCCCCCAAGGAGTCTCCCAAGGAGTCTCCCAAGGAGTCTCCCAAAACCGATTCAATAGATTCCTTAAAAGAAGCGGGTGCATCTGACCAAGAAATTTCTACTTTGAAGAGCTCAGATGAACCTCCCCAGAAGAGAAGGAAAATTGATTCTGCTCCCAGTTCATCAAAGGCCACGGAGTATAGTGCAGACAATCTTGCAGATGATAACAAAGAGAATATCAGGCCTAAGGTTAAGAAGTCAGAGAAAGCGCAAGCAGTAAGTTTTCAACAGTTGTAGAGTTGTGAGGTAAGGACTGGGAAAGCAAATCTCAATGAATGATGTCTCTTTCCTTAGAAGCCCTGTGTATCGCTGACAGATGAAGATTATGAACGCATATTTATTGCTGTCTTGGGAAGGCAAAACAGTGACACCCTGTTGGACAGCACACCTGCAAAAACTAATGCCTTGGATCATTCGAGGGATATGTTTGAATTCTCTCAAAGTGATTTAGATGATTCTGAGGTAATGTGGCTGAACACTAGTGCACTACTGTAGGGTTCCATGCAATTAATTTATACTAATTTTCTTCCAGGGAGAACAATCTGAATCAACTAAGAAAGAGGTTCCAGTAAGTGTATTATTTTTCTGTCAATGCTGATTTTCACCTCCTTATGTTAATATTTGTTTCTTCCCTTAGGTGAAAGGAAAGGATGATAATCCTGTAGCTAATCCATCAGGTACTAATTGTTACAATTGACATGGATTGCATGACTTTGAAACAAGTGTTGTAGTGACATAATGTTGTGTGTTTTTATTTTCTCAAGGTGGAAATTTTGAAACTGACAACACACCATCTTGCACTTCAGTTCTTGAATCAGTGACAGAAGGTACCAAAGAAATGAAGACAAATTCTAAAACATCTAGCTCACAAGAGGATCTCACCAATGTCATTAATATTGACACTAAAAGTCAGACTGAAGATTCTCAAGGATCAAGTGTTACTGATTTTGAGAATTTAATCACCAGTACACCAGTTGAGAAGAGCACTCTTAAATCAAATTCAGATGCCTGTGTTACTCCTCAAAAGATAAACTATCCTCAGAAAGTCCTTGGACTGTCTCAAGAACAGAACAGGTCACCTGCTTCCTGTGTGATCAAAGCAACATCTACATCTCAGCTGTCACAAGAACACAACAAGTCACCTGCTTCTTGTGTGATCAAAGCAACACCTCCATCTCAGCTGTCTCAAGAACAGAACAGGTCACCTGCTTCTTGTGTGATCAAAGCAACTTCTGCATCTCAGCTCCTGGAGCCAACTGCCAGCCCCCTTCAGGTATCATTAAGTATACCAGCAACGCAGTCCTTAATCCCAGCCCCTAGTCCATCATGTTCCTCAAAGCAGCCCATTCTTTCCCAAACTCCTCATTCTTCTCAGGGCCTCATTACCCCGACTTGCACTCCCACACGAAAGTTAGCTATCATATCCCAGAATGCGGACCTATTGATGAAAACTCCTTCAGCTTCTGCTCCAAATACTCCAAGCAGTAGCCAACAAATTAGTCAAGAAATATGTGTAACACCACCCCCTGCTAACAAAACAGCGAAAGAGAGGTTGCTTTGGCTTCAAAAGAAGCGCCTTGCAGGTCTGTGGGTTCAGTGTGATGAAAGGGAATGCCAGAAATGGCGATATTTACCAGATTGCCATGATCCCACAACACTCCCTGACAAATGGTTTTGCCGCATGCACCCAGGTATATATTGTTATTTATTTATAAAGAGGGTGTCATCTTTTGTTCTACAGCATGAAAAACTTAATTCAACTTGTGTTTCAGATGAGGAATTTAACAAATGTGATGCACCAGAGAAACGCTTGTCGTTGCATGCAGAGGAGGATATGATTTTTAATAAATACTCACCAGGGTCTCTTGTGCGTGCAAAACTATCAGGATATCCGTGGTGGCCAGCTATGGTTGAAGATGATCCAGACTTGGAACAGTTTTTTTGGCTGAATGAATTCTCAGACATTCCGGTAAGTGCACTTAATCCTTCAACATTTATTCAAATAATAAGTGGCCCTTAATCTTTCCCCTTCTTGTTTGTAGACTTGGTATCACGTTGTGTTTTTTGATGATGAGAATAAAACACGTTGCAGAGCCTGGGTGCAGGTGGAAAGACTCAAAGAGTATCAAGAGGAACCTTTAGATAATGAAGTCAGTGGTGCTATTTTTAAAAATACAAGTCTGTTGCTCACTTTTACTAAATCACTAATGAAAAAAAATCTTGTTTGCAGAGTCCTGAACTTATTGGCTACCAAAGAAGGGTGAAATTGGCTGACAAGCAAGCACGCCAAGCGAAATCACTAAGTTGTGAAGAGCGACTGGCTCGGTTTAGCTTTGCCTCTTGCTATAAAGGGCCAATTGGAGGATTTATGAAACGAAAGTACACTGGTCCTCTAGGATTCAGAGAACCCATTACTGATTGATTCTTTGTTGAAGAAAACGAAGGATTTTAAATATTGTTTTCTTGTGTCTCAGTTGTAGAGAAAAACTAAGAGTTTGTTTCATTTTCCTTTTGCTCAAGTAAATAGACTGGTAATCATTTCTTTTTGAACATGGGAATATTTTATTCTACTTGAAAGAAAAGTGGATCCCTATTGTTGTCTTATATTTATTTTGTTCATTTGATTTTTAACAGATGTTTAATAAATTGTTTTTTCTGACCAAAATATTTTTGTTTACACACTTTATTTTTTAAGTTAGCAGTTTGCTTGCTTTAACACAGCTGAATAATCACATCAAAAATATGTGATGGAATATGTAGCTCAGACCATAAAAACTATCACAGAGTACTGAATACACTCATTACAAATGAGAAACACATTGCTCTTTGTGTAAAGAGGAATTGAAATTTCATCAAACTTGAGCTGTTTCCTACTTAAGGACTTTCTAAACTATGTAAATGAAAACTTGCTAGGATGATCCATCTTTGACTGCATGAATTATCAGGCTTACCAAAGAGCCTCCTACTTTGCCAAATCTCCAAGCAAATATTTATGCTATGCCCGGCTGCTTGTTTTCTTTGTGGGCAAAAGTTCCACAATTGAAAAAGTTGCATGCTGCTGGTATGGCAATGGACAGCATAAAACCAACACTCAAAACAACAAAATAGCTTCCATAAACAAAAAACTGTCAACAAAGAAACATGTTAGGAACCAATAGGACTTGAATAATTCAAGATCAGAATGGATAGAAAAACCTACCTGACTACGAATTTCCAGTTCTAAACCACCTTTAGCAGCTACCGCAAGCGTAAAGATGGACTGGAGGCACAAGGCTATGAACATGTTGAAGCCGAAAATGAGAGCATGTGAATCAGCCTTGAGGGACACTGCCACTTCAGAACTAGAAAGAAGATGAAAAAGAGAAGCTTGTAAATATTGGATTTATCAACAAAGTAAATAAAAGATGTTCCTTTTTCTTACCTTGCTAACACCATAGTTGAGTGATACAAAATTTTAAATATTATGTATAGGACATACTGAACCCATAGATGAACCATACCAGCAGATATTAAAAGGACAGTCCCTTGAAGAAGACAACACACTGTCAGAATTGGACATGAATATCGAGTAAGGTTCATTTTGTGCTGGCCTACAAACCATGTTGCAATGGCACCTGAAAATAAGAAAAATATTAGAGTACCGTAAATAAAGCTGTTGGTGTTGACTTGGTTCAAATTTATCACCTATAAGAGTATAGGCAGCGTCAACAACACCATTATACAACTGCTGGTCCTGTGTTGCTGTGACTTGCCAAAGCATCTGTATGTATGATGTCACCTGAAACATATTTTTAGGAGGCCCTACAGTACCAATGAATATCACAGTTGTGCTCATTCAATATGAGGCATTAGAAGTACAGAAGGAACAGCAGTATAGTATATCACATTGTAAATCGCAAAAACTTACCTGTAAATAACCACAAGTGGCTGAAGCCCACCACAAAGACCACTTCAAAATATGAGCATTTCCATAAGCAGAGAGAAAATCATCTATCATTGCTTGCAATGCATCTGACAAAATTCTTCTGCATGGTTTCTTTGGGGAGAGAATAGAACTCTCTTGAACAGCTTGACTTTCCTGGCCTTCAAGTGGCAAATCCATAAAACAATTTAAACTCTGATCATTATTTGGTGGTGACATGCCAGAATCCTCACAAGCTCCATTGTATTCTGGTTGTAAACTGCTTTCCCGATGAAAGTAAATGCTTCTGCTTGCAGATGGAAGAAAGGCAGCCACTATGACAGACAATGAGACTCCTGCCAAAATAGTATTATATCATTAGAATGTATGAGATAAACGAGACACAATACATGAAATCATTTCTTGTACCTTACCGGCCAGGGTCAAATAATTCAGTTGATGGTATGTTAGAAAATGCAGGCTGATGGTAAGCTGACTTGTAACCCCAGATGCAAAACGTCCTAATAAAATCCCTGAGCGTACTGAACCAGATACCTTCTGGAAATCCTTTTTATCACACTTGGCATAAATATAAGTAAGATATGCTACCTCTGTAGCCATAAATAATCCATAAAAGAATTCAGCTACCTAAATAAAAGAAATTATAGCATGTGAATAACAGAGAAGATGTGCTTTTCTCATTCCTTTATTTTTTGAAGCAGGCAAAAAGGGTCAGAAAGTGCAATTACCTGAATCGTTGGCACATCTTTGCCCCATATTATGAGGGAATAAGTTACAACTCCTGCCAAACCTTCCAAAATAATTACAGGTTTGTAGCGAGCCCAATCAGTAAGAAGAAAAACCAGTACTAGCAAAGATAAGTTTGAATAAGTTCCTACAGGGTAAATATCTTGATTCACCTATCGACATAAGTATAAATATTACATAGTGCAATTGCATTTTAAAAAGCACATTTTGCTCCAAACATTCATTTAGAAGCAGTAACTTTCCGTGACAAACCTGCGCTTTGGTGAAGTTTTTCTCCGGACCAATCAAATATTGTGTTACAAATGATTCTGAGGGCCGAAATTCTTTGAGGAATCCAAAAGAGCATAAAGGGACTAACACACTCCAGGATACAGTCATGATCTAAACCAAACAAACAAAATCAGTTAAAATTGACCAAAGTTCACAAACACCAAAAATAAAAAATGACACAACGTCATTCTTGAACAATCGTAACTTCCAATATTTGCAAACACCATGAAACGAAAATTACCACTTCCAATTGTCGTTTTCTGCTTGAAATTTTGGGCAAAAGTGCTCTGATCAATGGGGTCGTCTGCTAAAAGTTGAGGTTATGGTCGTTCAGCCACTAACGCATTAGATCAGGACACCTGACAGCATCAATTTTGAAATAATACCCTCTGTTCCTCTTGGTTCGAAGATATGTCTCTAAGAAGCGAAGGATCTTGTGGCATTGCTGTTGACACATTATTGGGGTCGCTCATACTCAATACACACACGGAACGGACCTTTGCCGCTCGTCCCCCTCCCATTCTTCCACCTTCCCTCCGCTCCCTCCCCCAAACCTTGCCGCAGGTCACTAACCGACGGACCATTTATCCCTCTTTTCTTTTCTTTTTGTATTTTTTTCTGTAGGAGATATTACTTTGAAATGATAATAACAAAACGTAGCTTGGAGAATTTAAGGTAGTGTTCTGAATGTTGAGTTGAAGTTGGCAACTAAAATGAGTCAACATTATATAAATGTAATGATTTCTGCTTTATTTTTGTGACAACACTGCATTGAATAGACACACATTAGCAGATATAGAACATAAATAAAGCACAAAACATATGCAAAACAAACCACTTGCAAGAACAATTTTTAAAATTGAGCCTAAATAACAAATAAAAAAATGTTGCTCACACACATATCCTGTAGCTAAAGCTACAAGTCAAACAAATAAGTAAATCATTCCTTATTATGGGATTCCTTACAGTCGACACATAAAAGCTGAGTAAACTATCACAACTCAGAAAAATTCCTTATGTCAATAAAAATTCATTAAATTTTCCAGTGTGAGAAAATCTTAGATTGAACATAGAGCATCGGTGTGCATATGTTTGCACAATGTCCTCTGATAAATCTTTAAACAGGCAAATCTGATGCTTGATAAGGTACATGAAGGTACATGAAAGTATAATCTAAAGAAATCAATCAACTACTTCATTAAGAGACCAGTGTATTCACAATGACAACCTAAGATACAATGAAAAGCTAACCTACATAATAATTTTTACAAAAGATTCTGATTCAATGTACACTAACTTTACAATGACTATCAAGCTACTACTAATACATACATACATTAACTGCGGAAATTCTGCCTCACATATAGAAATTTGTACATAGATGGAACAGTAAGGTTCCCACAGGGAAAATATATATAGTTTTTGTAATGCATGTACAATAAAATATGGCTTCCTTAAAATGTTATTCACACAAGCCCAATCTACAATAACATCTGACTGATTTATTTATTTTCAAACAATTCGACAGTTACATGATTTAACTTAAAAGTAAAACAAGGAATTGATCAAAATTTGTTACATATCTCACAGACAAAAGACATGGCGTTTTATTAACAGTAGCTCTGACTTGGAGGCAATCAACATACAAATAGATATTTTCTTTTATAAAAATACTACTAACTAATAATAAATGCATGTTTGAAACAAAATCAGAACAAAACTAGTGCAATTAAGCACATATACGCTTAGGACACAATCACAAGGCAGCAATGCAAAAATAATTATAACACAAATTACAACAACAGCACCGTCAGCATTTTCACTCCTTCACCCTTGTGCCTACCTAACAAGGGTGGACTAGGTCCTCTTCTCATACTCAGGTCTTGAAGAAAATATTCCACTACACACTTTTAATGTTTACAGAGCTTACAGTGGTCCCAACAGCTAAAAGACACAGGGAGAATCATAAAAGAAAACAATACATTGAAGTGATGTTAAGGTAATGTGAAAAAAAAAGTTTAACTCATTAGTGACATATCAATCAAGAATACTATACACAGACCCGTTATCCATGCAAACACACTACATTTGTTACATATCTATTGCACTTGTCTAGCAGAGTCAATGAAGCAAGTGGAAAATATGCAATTTAAGTGAAATCAACATGGTACTATTTAGAAGAGGCATTAGATCTAGTTTTGATATCCATAGCTCTCTTAAGTATTAGAACATTTTACAAAGTTACAAAAATAGATCCAAAACATCAAAATCGTGAACAATTCTCTGGTCCAGGGTGAATATCAAAGCAAAGGAGATGCAAAAGGTTTTGGAGTCAAAAGTAATTCAGGAACAAAATGTTGTGGTAGGTTTTAAGCTGTCCAAAACCAACATTTGACAGGAGAATTGCACTTAAATTCAAATCTACACTCTACACAATATATACAGAAACAGTCCTGCCCAAAGGTCACAATATTAGTTCATCCACTTCTTACAGTTTTGTGCACCACACAAACAAGGTATCTTGTGCTGATCATCCTCAAGGTCAAATTTGTAATCATAGGCAAGCTGAAACAGATTTTGAGAAGACAAGATAAGATAAACAGCCCCTGTTCCAACCAAACTACTGAAAGATGATAAATACAAACTTACCTCCTCTCCCCTTTGAATTCTTCGTTTGGCAAAGATAATGATCCTCAGGTCTCTGTCCACTTCCACTATTTCAGCCACACAATTTGGGTTACAAGAATGGTTGATATATCTAGCAAGTCCACCACAAAGTGTAGCATCAACAACTCTGTCCTCGTCCAATCTAAACATGTAGATACCACGATTCTGAAACAAATATAAATTGAACATTAATAGGGTTGAACACAATCTTGCAAAATATTTGTAACTTAATCTTCATGGACCTACCTTCTCTTGATATTTCTTTTCACGTGTCTCTGACAATTCAGATCTGATAATTTCACCAATATATTCAATGACCATAGTATGGCGTTCAATATCTCTTGTAGCATACAACCCCAATCCAGCAATTTTCGATCTATGAACACAAACAAATAAATATGTTACATCAAAGTTCAAAATATAGAAGGAAATAAAAGTATGATATTGATCTATCCAACAAATACCTTGCCAAGTACACATTGTTTCGCCACTCTTGCTTCATTTTCTTGTACTGGCTGCTCTTGGAATGTACAAACTGTTTTGAATAGGGACATGCAACCTCCCCGGCTGATGTTGGAGTAGATACTAGTGCAGGTCGCGTTGTGACTCCTGCTGTTCGCTGTGTGTGTGGTCGTTTAAACGTCACCTGTCCACGGATTTTCGGTTCAGATCGGGCACAGCCAGTTGGATTCACAGCCAAGGGAAGTTCAAGGAGAGGGTTACGTCCGTACTTAAACTTGTAATCCGTTAATGTTTCAATTCCTAAGTGAAAATAAAGCATGAGAATAATAATAATAATAATAATAATAATGATAAACTTGAAAAAGGGCTAACCAAAGAGTATAAATGAAGTCACAGCACATACCAGGTAAACTTTCCAAAATTCTCACAATTGCTGGTTCTGTCAGACCAAAAAGGTCTTCTCCAGATATGTACTTTGGAAAAATATTGATGTTGCTATTCTCTCTTCTCAAATTTTGCATAGGCTCAAGAATCTGCTGCCAGACACCTTTGGCAGTGGTATCACGAAGTTCAAGATCTTCCTGAGATTGTTCAGATACCAGGACTCTAAATTCTGGTGAGCCATTCACTTCATGAATGGAACATATGTAACGGCAACGCTTGTTGGCAACCCTCATGCTCCAATAAAAGCGAATCTAAAAACAAAAAGCAGCAATAAGACATAACATCATAAATCCTTCAGATGCAGGAATCATACAAAGTAAAAAATTTAACTTACAATTTTGTAACCAATGGGATAGATGAAATTGGTATTATGGAAATTTTGAAATTGGTGTGGAAGCAACTGTCCAACATTGAGGAAAATAAGACTGCCTACTCTCATAAGGTGATTTTCATCGGCATGGTGCATAACAGTAGCTACTTGTCTATTTTCATCCCTGTTTATATAGACTCTTCTAAATACAGATAGAGTTGTGAGCTCATTTTCTTTATCATTTTTGGGAACATGCTCAGAGCAGTAGAGAGTTTTATTTTTATAGAAGACACATTCATCTTTCACTGCACACTGTAGATGATAAACAGCTGCACATCTGGTCTTAAAGCATCGAAGTGTGGCTCCAGTTCGCTGACAATGCACACATGTGAGAGTGAGAGACTGTTGTAAAGCTTGCTCAATGTTCATTAATGCTCCATTCACTGTTTCATACACTTCTTCAGACCATAATGCACAGTTGAGGTGGACCCATTTGTCAACATCCAAATTTAAAAGACGTGCTGGACCATCAGACACTCCATCACCAACAGCATGGCAGAACAAACATTTCCGAGTGTCTTCAGGCATCTTTTGAGGCATAACAGTAATGACCATGCGGAACAGCATTTCAGTAAGTTCTCTCTCAGTTGGTCTCCGGAACTTCTGTCTCGGTGGGGGAACTTGATTGGGTGCTACAACACGGAAACGGATTCCCTTCCATGATTTAGCTGGGGTCGCAGGTACAAGGTCCTTCTTTTCTGCTGCTGCATCACCCGGCAAGCCTGTTGCATCACCCTCCATTTCAACATCTCCAGATTCTGCACTGATCTGGTCTCTTCCCCTCTCTTCATCTGTGGAAAGCCGCATTCTCTTCGGTGGACTGGGAGCTTGAATAACATGGTCTACTAATGCAGCAGCCTAGAGGGAGGGAAAATATAAATAATAATGCATTATTCTTTCTTTTTTTTTTTTTCCTTTTAAGGGAAGAAGTGTGGTAGAACAGTACCACAATACAAACCTAAACTTTGAACAAATTCTTAACAGGTACTAACCTTTTCTTGTGATATACTTGGCGATCTGTGCATAAGAGCAAATTGCATGTAACAGGTGGAGCCACAAAAATAGACATCCTCATTTTCAGCATTACTGAAGGGCAACTCATTGGTCTTAGTTGGGCGAATATCAGACGCTTTTCTGCGGATTCCATTATTCAGAATGACAACATCACAATGATAACAAAACTTGGCTGCCCCATTAAGAATACACTGGATGTCAACGGGAGCTGCAAAGTAAAATCATGACAAATTATAGACCAAAAATAGAATTAATAAATCTCTCACAGACATGTTGAAGCACCTCAAACTTACCACTCTCTTTGCCGTCTTTACTTCTAGATTGGTACAGTCCCAATTTTGATGGAGAAGTGTTAGAATGGTCCAGGATTTGGTAAGTTGTTGGTGCTGCTATGTTTAAAACATTAGCTAAGTCAATCAATACTCCACAAATGTTTTCAGCGGACGTATCGCTTATAGTTATGGTAACAGATAAATTGGCCGAATCCTTGAGAGGAGAATAACTTCCTAAGCGAGATTTTCCTAGTGATGGGTCCCGTACCATGCCAAAATTTTCTTTATCCTAGAAACAACATTTTCTTGGATTAGTTCACACATTAAGATTTATTAAATTGTAATTTACATTTTAAAATAATGCAATATCCTACCAATTCAGGCGTATCTCTGCTTCCTGGTTTTAGTCTGATTGGAATTGGTGCTATGATGGGGATCACTGGTGATGCTCTCTTATGACATTGGTCCTCTTCATCTGATAGATCTTCATCAATCAGGCGTAACCCTTCAAAATTACAAGAAAGTGTTTGTAGGAGATGTCTTAATCAGAAATTAGGACTTTTAATTTGACGTGGAAGAACTCTGCCTTACCTGGGAATCTGAGAGGCTTTTCTGGCATGACACATTCTGGAGATGATGAGCTTATAACAGTGTCAGGTGTATCATTGTCACGGATATAATGCTTTTTGTCATCAGGGTCTTCAAGGTCTAACAAACCAATGTCAAGGTGGTAAAAGTTAGCCTTTGTTGGGACAAACGGTTGAGGTACAGGTGGGTTGTCACCATATGGTTGAGTGGCATAGAAATCATCAGCACCCTTCAGAGTTGAGCAACCAAATCCTCCCTGCAAATCACCTGTCCTGCACCCACTAAGGAAAGGGTAAAAAAAGGATAAGATAAGAAAAGGAACAAATAAGTAACAGGACAAAACCAATTTAAATATTATTCTTACGTTGTGACTTTTGTCAAGTTGCCAGATCCATACACACAGCACACAGCATAATCAGGGCACCGCTGGGGTTGTCTAAGAGTCATTGGCGGGAGCTGCCTCAGCTGCATCATGATGGATTCCATACAACTATCATAGTCTTCATCCACACGACGCAATCGTTTTCTGGCCAAGGTGCCAGATTCCTTCCCCTGACTTTGTCTTCTTTTCTGTTGGTACTGACGGCGTTTCAGTTTTTTCATTTCTATAGCAGCTTGCTCTTGCGCTGCCTTCTGGCTTGCAATATCCATAGGGGAAGGAGCAGTAGAGGTGGAAGGTGATTCAAAATCGGATGGAACTTCCCTTTTAATCACAGTAGAGGGTATGAGCCCTTGGGACATTGTGCCTGGTGCCTGACCCGGGTGCACAGTTCGACTCAAAACCTTCACAAGACAAAAAAGATAAGTAAATTTAGATAAAGATAAGACACAGACAAAAATTATGAAATAAGAGAAGAGAAAATCATTCTTATTACCTGGGTTGGTGCCATGTGTGTAGGTGCTTGAGAAACTCCAGGCATACCTGAAATCGGTACTGCTTGTTGCATGTATGAAGGTGGAGGCCCAACTTTGGTAACTCCTGGATGAACCATTTGCACTCGCTGCTGGCCTGGCAGCCCTTGCTGCACTTGTACTCCAGGAGAAATGTGGAGTCCAGGTGGTGGCATTGGTGTGCCTTGAAGTTGCACTGATGAACTCGGCTGACCTTGCACACTCTGCGCACCCATTCCTGATTGAGTTTGAGTGGTAGGCTGGGTCTGAAATAGCCGTGCCTGCACTGCTTGAGGCATTCCTGGAGGAATTCCTTGGGGTGCTCCTTGAGGCATCCCTTGATGGCTTCCTTGAGGGGCTCCTTGAGGCATTCCTTGAGGAACACCTTGGGACACAGATGCTGGCACTCCTTGAGGCACAGATGTTACTACTCCTTGAGGCATTCCTTGCGACACTGAAGTCGGCGGACCTTGAGGTACTCCTTGAGGCATGCCCTGAGAGACTGCCTGAGGTACTCCGGGTGGCAATCTGTGTGGCATTCCTTGCGGCACAACGTAGGGCATTCCCTGGGGCACGCCGTGGGACACAGATGTTGGCACTCCTTGTGGCATTCCGTGCGACACAGATGTTGGCACTCCCTGAGAGACTCCTTGTGGCACCGACGTTGGCACTCCTTGTGGTGCAGACGTGGGTACTCCCTGAGAGATTCCTTGCGGCACTGATGTTGGCACTCCCTGAGAGACTGCTTGCGGCCCAGACGTTGGTACTCCCTGAGAGACTGCTTGCGGCCCAGACGTTGGCACTCCCTGTGGGACTCCTTGTGGCACAGACGTGGGTACTCCCTGAGAGATTCCTTGCGGCATAGATGTGGGTACTCCTTGAGGTACAGATGTTGGCACTCCCTGAGGGACTCCTTGCGGCTCGGATGTTGGTACTCCTTGCGGTACAGATGTTGGAACTCCTTGTAGAGGCACTACTTGGGGTGCAGCTGTTGGAACTCCTTGAGGAGGCACTACTTGGGGTACAGATGTTGGAACTCCTTGGATAGGCACTCCCTGAGGCACAACTGGTGGAGCACTTGCGACCGTGTTCGCCACGGTAGTAACAGGTGGCTGTTGACGCACTTGAGCAGGCATTTGGGCTGGGACAGCTCCTGGGCGAGTCTCACCTTCAACAGGAGTCATTGTAGTGGTTACTGTTTGTACCAGCACGCTTCCAGTGATAGCTGCCCCCACAGAAGTTACAGCAGGAGGCACTGATGAAGTTGCTTGCCTGAAAGAAACAAATTTATGTGATAATGCAGGTAAAAAAATAAAAATATGAAAAGGGAATAACATATTTATGTCATATAGTATCACTTACCCAATGGACACCAACTGAGATGGACCGCTAGATGCAGTAGAAGCCACAACTGACACAGGTGCCACAGAAGTTGATGATACAACAGCAGCACTGGATGTATGGGCTTGAGTTGTGCTACTTGACAGACTTGGAGTGGATGGAGTGGAACTTGATGTTGCTTGACTTGAAGCAGATACAGGAACCACAGCTGGCATTGCCAGAGACATGGAACCGGAACCAACAGAGCTTTGCACTGTTTGGCTGACTGTAGAGACAGCTGGACTGCTTGTCGGAACAGAGCTGGCTGCACTTGCGGCAGTGTGAAGTGCATTCTGCGGTGCCACTGTCGTCTTGGAAGGTGTAATGGGTCTTGCTGATAATGGAGTGGGCCTTGGAGGAGCGTCATTGGTCAGCAAAGGTGGAATGAGAGCCGATGGCGTCGGAGGCACTGGCCTTGCAAGCTGAGCTTCCAGAGATGGGACCTCCGATGAACTTGACGAGAGGATATTTTCTTTTGATGGTTGAGAAGGGGAAGCAGCACAAGCTGTATTTTGAAGTAGTTGTTTCAACAGGACATTTTGAGATTCGACCGGCTGGGAAAGAAGTTTGGAGCCGGTGGATTCATCTTTTTCATCTTTGGGCTGAAGCAGAGAAGCAACATCCATACTTGTTGAGGATGACGACTGAGCAGATTCATCATCAACATCCATTGGCTCAGGCTTGACGTCTGCAGCTTGTGGTGAAACCTCTGACAGAGAAAGGCTCTCTTGAGAAGCTTCCTTGGCCTGAACTCCATCTTTCAAAGCCTTAGGATAAGGAGGAGGAGGGCCCACAGGCAATGTTGGCGATTCATCCTTTGGCTTGACACTTCCTGATAAAAGCTGAGCCTGAAGCAAGCTTGGTTTATTGTCAAGCTTTGGCATTTGTGTCACAGACAGGGGCTTTATTTGAGACGTTGAAGAGCTGTTGGTGCCCTCACTGCTAGGAAGGGCTGGCGTGCTCAGAGATCTTGACGATTTCTTACTGGGGCTTCCCTGAATGGTGGGGATGAGGTCTGGCTGCTTTGATTCAGGTTCAGATTTGTTGTCTCCATTCCAAGTTGCAGGTTTAATTTGACTTACAAGCAACTTGGAGGGATCTGGCTGCTCTCGAACAGGGCTGCCGGGTGCTGATGAGCTATGAGTATCCACGTTCGCTCTAGCTAACTGGGACGGTTGTAAGCTCGCAGCAGCAGGACTAGGTTGGCTTTGAGGTCGATTCGGTGACCTTCGCTCTGCAGAGCTTTGAGAGTAAATAGTGCTAGTGATTTGTCTAATATTAGGAGGAAGTGTCATAGCAGTTAATGTTGAGTCCGAATCAGTGGCTGAGGTTATTGTGATATCCTGTGATGATCTCCTTCCACTGATAGATACAGGCTTATCAATAGACTTCTCTTCTGATGATGAAGCTTCTGGACTGTCTGCCTCTGATGATGGTAGTGCCCCACTGACCAAAGATGGAATAGAAACTGAGGATGATAGAGCAATGGCAGGCTCTGGAGCAGCAGGAGAGTCTTGCAAAATGGATATCAACTGGTCTCTCTCATTGGGATTTTGACTGGTGCCGTCATCGGTTTTCTTCTCAACATCATCTTTGGTTTCATTTAATTCTGGTAACAGTTCCCTCTTGGCTGACGATTTAACGGGTTCTGTATTGGCGCCCAGGAGAGAAGCCAATTTGGGGGATCCACTAACAAATGATGATGGAGATTGAGAACTTGCACTTGTAGCCTGACGCATAATCACTCGTGACTTTTGTTCAGACTGAGACAACGACACCTGCAGTAAAGTTTTGCCCAAGCCCTCAAAGACAGGTTCACTCTGCACATTTGTTTTAGAGTCCGAGCTTGAGGTATTTGAATGCTTATTTGCGTCTAACGTGCGTTTGCCTTCTGGTGTTGACGGCTGAGGTGGTTGGGCAGGCTTCACTGTTGTAGCTGGTTGCGGAGGTGCTGGTACAACAGGCAGTGATTGGGCAGCTTGGGCAGCTTGAGCAGAGAGTGCAGAAGCCATGTCTTGCTCAACCTCCAAATCTATGGGGCTTTGTAGCTCTAGGCTGTCAGGCATATTTGAACTGTCTGTACCTTCATGAATGCGCTCCATAGCTTCCAGTAATGCTTCATACTTTTTGCTTGCAGCTGTAGGCTGGAGAATTTGCACAGTTGTTTTCTCTAGCAAATTGATCGAGTCCTGTTCAGACATTTGAACTGTTGGAGGAGACGATGCATTAGATGGGTCCACGGGTGAACTGGATGGTTGAGATGTTGCTGTTGATGAAGAGGAGGCAGCTGCGGAAACAGGTTGAGCTTGCTGAGCAACCAGGACAGGCAACTGCTTCGATCCAAGGTGCACTTGAGTTGCATGTTGAGATTTAGGAATCTGCACCAAGATTTGTTTGGGTATACGACCACCAGGAACTGGCTGCTGAAGGAAGTGCATTGGAGTTTTCTGTAATACTTGAATGGGTGTCTGCTGGGACATTACACCAGGATTGGGGCGCAATATTAACACAGGCGTTTGCTTTGAAAGATGAGCTGGAGATTTTTGCTTCGATGGGCTTTGGATATCTTGAGAAGTCTTTAATGGAGAACCCTGAATTTCTTCAGCATTTATCTTGCGGGGTGAAGTCAGTACAACTGAACTTGACAACGCAGCTGGAGTAAGTTTATACAGGTCTCCACTGGGCGTTCCCATAACAGCAGTAACCAGTCTAGGTCCTGCGACTCTTGGAGCACCAGGCCTTGCAACTCCTCCAGAAACAGGTGTCAGCACTCTGGGGGAATTTGTGATAACGCTGACTGGTACGAGACCTGGAGCATGTGGAAGATGGACTCGCTGAGCAACTCCAACACGGGACGCTGTTAAAGACTCCACAACAGGGGTTGTTTGGGATTTACTGGGTGTGCTCCCCTTGCTGACAGATGGTGTGTCTGCAGATGATGTTTGAGCTGTCTTGATTTTGGCCTTTTCAACAGCTTGATTTACAGCAACAGTTTCAGGTGTCAAAACTAAGTCACTTGATGCTGAAGGGTCTGCTGTTACAGTCTGCGTCGGAGTCAAATCAATGCTGGATGTACTATCTGCAGGAGTTGACTGTGGGTCTGTGGGCACATTGCTAGGAGCATCAGCATTTTTCTCCTCTACACTTTTTAAGCCTTCCTGCATCTCTGAAGTTCCTTTAGAAGTAGCATCCTCATTGACAGGTTTCTCCACAGGATTAGCAGTGCCAATAATCATGCTCACTTCTTCTTCGGTTAAATTATCAGTCATCATGGCACTTGCATCTGAACTATCCTCATCCTCAGCCAGGCTACTTGCAGAGGCAACCTTTGCCACCTCAGCGGCCAAATCTATAGTCTCAGTTGGAGGGGGCGGAGGTGAGTCGGCAGCATCATCTTCCAACAAGATTTCTGGTAGATCAAAGTCTATTTTAGGGATGGCTGAGAGGGAATCCATCTTTGGGGTCACACAAGGAAGAATACTTGAAGTTTCACTGGATGTACGCAACAAGTTGGATTCTGGTTTGTCCATCGACTTCTCATCGGAGCCAGTAGATTTCTTGGACTCAGAGTCGGGTGATCGGGCAGGGGAGGCGAGATCATCATCTGAATAGTTGTAGTCTGAGGCCACCAAGGATGCATGGCGAGGGTTCACTCCAGAGCTGCTGCACCCGACAAGCACGGGCTGCTTCTTCTCTGCCTCTGCCTTGCTCTGCTGTTGCCTCGTGCTGAACATGGGGGAGCCTCCACGCAACCCAAGCCGAATGTTGCCGAACGCGTCGAACAGCGCTGCAGGCAGGGGAATCGGGGCCATGGGATTGCCGCCACCACCACCGCCTCCAGGCGGCCCCGCCATCACTTGGTGCTGCTGTTGCTGCTGCTCCACCATGACGTTGTGTTCCTGAGGCGTGCGCGGCGTCGCGGGGTTCTCAACGCTCAGAGGACGGTCTGGCAAAGCAGGGCTGCTCGCCATGCTGCCGCCGGTGCTGGAAGGCCTCCTGACAGCCATAGGGGATCCCAGTGGGTTCTGAGGCCCGGCGGACTGCACCATGGGACTGCGCGGCGGCATCGGCGACTGAGGGTGGCCCGGGTGGCCCATGGACACGTGGGGGCTGGGCGGCGGCCTGGGGCTTTGCGACGCGGCCTGAATGTGCGGGGACGGTGGCTGCGGCGCACCGAACTGCCCCTGCGACATGGGTGAGCTGGGGGGCAGCTGGTGAGGACTGGGACTAGGCGCCATGGGGGACGCCGCCGGCACAGAGGGGCTGCGGTCAGGCTGCTGCAGCGGCGAGCTCGGGGGCTGCTGCATCTGCTGCACACCTTGTTGGGATTGCTGCTGCAGTAACTGTCTCTGCTGTTGTTGTTGGGCGATTTGCTGCTGTAACATCATTTGCCGCTGCTGGGCGTACTGCAGCTGTTGTTGTCTCTGCAGTAGCTGTTGTTGAGTCTGCTGTGCACCCTGTTGTACGTTTTGCTGCACACCCTCCACCTGGTTTTGGTCCGGCTGCTGTCCAGCCTGCTGCTGTTGTTGTTGTTGTTGGAGTAAAGCCTGCTGCCTTTGTTGCATCAACTGCCTTTGAAGTAGCTGCTGTTGCTGCTGCTGAGCGGTTTGTGGTTGCTGTTGCTGTTGTTGAGTGGGCATGAGTCTCACCGGCTGGCCAGGCTGGCCAGGTTGGCCGGGCTGCCCCTGCTGCTGAGCCTGCTGAGCCTGCTGGGCCTGTTGCAGCTTCAGCTGCTGTTGCTGCCTCGCCAGGACTTGCTGCCGCATCAACTGCTGCTGCTGAGGGGACAGCTGGCCGAACTGCTGGATCTGCAGAATGGGTCCATTCGGGCCCTGCACCACGTGGCGCACCATCTGCTGCGGGTGGAGCTGCACTTGGTCCAGCTGCTGCTGCGTCACCTGCTGCTGCTGCCTGATTCGCTGAATCTGCTCGGTCGTCAACTGAGTTGGGACGCCAGGGCGCTGAAGTACTTGGCCTTGCTGCATAGGCTGTCCCTGTTGTACCACCTGCTGAACAACTTGGCCCTGCTGTGGTACCTGCCCTTGTTGGACAACTTGACCTTGCTGTACCATCTGGCCCTGGGACATGACCTGGCCTTGCTGCATAACTTGACCTTGCTGCACCATCTGGCCCTGGGGCATGACTTGGCCTTGCACTACCTGACCTTGTTGGACCATTTGGCCTTGTTGAATCATTTGTCCTTGTTGAATCATTTGCCCTTGCTGGACCATTTGCCCTTGCTGGACCATTTGCCCTTGCTGGACCATTTGGCCTTGCTGAACCATTTGGCCTTGCTGAACCATTTGGCCTTGCTGAACCATTTGGCCTTGCTGAACCATTTGGCCTTGTTGCACCATTTGACCTTGTTGAACCAATTGACCTTGTTGTACCATTTGGCCTTGTTGTACCATTTGGCCTTGTTGAACCATCTGGCTCTGTTGGACCATCTGGCCCTGTTGGACCATCTGACCCTGTTGGACCATCTGGCCTTGTTGAACCATCTGGCCTTGTTGAACCATCTGGCCCTGTTGAACCATTTGGCCTTGTTGAACCATCTGACCATGTACAATTTGTCCTTGTTGAATCATCTGGCCTTGAATAATTTGTCCTTGTTGCCCTTGATTTTGGTTGATTAGTTGATTCTGCTGAATTACTTGTTGTTGTATCAACTGTCCTTGGCTTACTTGAGGAGAACCTGGGATTCTCTGAACACTTTGTACAGTCTGAAGTCCAGGTTGATTTGGAGGACCTTGTGCTCTCACAAACCTTGTTGGCAATCTGAACAGAAAGAAAAACAAATTTTTATCTCTTCAAATTTGAGAGAGGGACAGGGAAAGGAAAATAAATTGCATACCTCACTACTTGATCAGATTGGAACTGCTGGGGGTTGGTTGCATAGACAGCCATTTGTCTGGGCATTGGCACCTGAGGCCTATGTTGAGGTGATGCCAAGCGATGACCAATGGGCGATGGAGGTGGAGGACAAACCTGCTGGCTTGGTGAAGGCGTAGGGTGGCCTCCACCTGGACTAAATGGGCTATCATCCTGAAATAGCGACATGCAGACAACGTTAGCAAGCGCTACAGACTAGAAAGGAAAGATTTATTAAGGTTAAACATTGCAATATTCCCACCTGAGAGTGTGGTGTGCCAATGCGAGGAGACGGCTGCAGACTGTGAGGAGACATTCCCGCAGGGTTGCCCGGCGAGTGCTGCACCATGGCACCCATGGAATTGGGACCCGGGCTCTGGGCACCTATCATTGGGCTGGGGCTCTGCATGGCTTGAGGTGACGGCGAGGGCTGCTGCTGCACCATGGGAGACAGCTGCTGCTGCTGCACCATGGGAGAGAGTTGTTGTTGCACTAGTGGTGAGTTTTGCTGCTGCTGCTGCTGCTGGAGCATAGGGGAGTGCTGCTGTTGCTGCTGCAGTGAGGGAGAAGGTGACAGCATCGGTGACTGCGGCGTGTGGATAGGTGAGGATGGTGGTGGCCGTAGAGGGCTTTGTTGGGGTCCAGGCCCCATCATGCCCATTTGAGCAGGCTGCTGTCCTCCCACCATAGGCTGAGTTTTGTTTTGCTTATTGCGATACTCCTGAAGTAAAAAATCAACAATGAAAAAACCAATCATCAGGATAAGTTGACAAACAGCAGCTTAAGGCTGAACACTTTACCTGCATAACTGCATTATGCTGCCGGTTGGACTTGCGAGCTGAATCTAGGTGCTTCTGCAAGCCACTTTGTTCCTCAGTAATACGCTGAAGTTCTGCAGCATCATTTTCAGGCAGTGGATTTCCATTCTTTGAAGCTACCCTCTTTTTACTTATGAGTGACTGCAAACACAAAGGAGTGACAAATTGCTAAATGAAATCTCAAACTAATTTTGTGCATACAAACCACTGAAATTTTATGACAACTACCTTTCTTGCTTTTCGCAATTTGTGTACTTCAGATTCATAATACTTCAATTGGTCAGTCAGATATTGATTTTCATGGTTCATCCAGTGCTCATAAGTCATATGAGCTTGCCTATCCGCTTCGGAGTTAACATTGTCAGGCGGTGTGGGTGGTTGAGCAACACGAGGTGCATTAAAGAGTGGCACACGCACTGAAAAATTAAAATACCATGAGCCTCCGCATCATGCAAAACTTGAATGAAACCCATACAGAAAACAACATACATTCTTGCGACATATTCGCTGTCATGGATGGTCGCACCATCTGCGGCCTCGGCACCCACTGCTGCTGAACAGGTTGCTGGAGTCCCATCTGACCAGGAGCCATGTTGCCAACATTGACAGATCCCATGGGGCCCATGGCACCCATCGTGCCCACAGCACCAGCTTGGACGACGCCTGGGTTACTTGGCGGGCCTTGAACGGGAGCAACAGGTCGAACTCCAGGCGGGTAGGGTGGCCTTAGCTGGGGCTGCATCATGACTTGGCCTGGCGAAAGAAGAGCAATCGTCAATATTCCTTAACAAAAAGAAAATAAATTGGATCCTTTGAGTGTGACACCGCAAACTGCTTACCAGGCATTTGCAGCTTGGGAGGCCCTGGCACCGAGACGGGCACTGCCACGGGCACCGGCGTCCCTGGCCCGGCCTGTCCGGGCGAGCTGAGCACAGTGGACTGAAGGTGCTCCAGCTCCAGCTCACTCATCATGTTGCCGGGCATCGGCATGGGCGAGGTGAGGCCCTGTCCCTGCGACGTCCCCACGTCCATTTGTCCGGTCTGTTGCTGATGCTGGTGTTGCTGCTGTTGTTGCTGCTGCTGTTGTTGTTTCTCTTGCTCCCGTTTCTCCTGTTCCAACAGGTCCTCTAGTAAAAGAGGTTGATCCTGTGAAGAAATAAAAATAAAAGTTTTAAAAAGTCGTACATCATGTTTCAAAGTCTGGGCTGAGCAACAGTCAGCACAAAAAGAATTGCAGAAGAATTTAACAAAAAAATTCTTAAAGAGGACATCTAAAATACAAATAATATATTATAATAATAATAAAGCATGCAAAGTGGATCATGCAAAGACAGTGTTGACTACAAGGGAATATTAGAATGAATGCTTTCTGTTCCGAGGCAATGGGATGAAGGCAAGATTAAAATGGCAACTACTGCTGAGTACTTGATGCAAGAAATATCCGATGTTTCTGAAAAACATGTTCCTTTCCTCAGGTTAATTAAGACTCGGCTTAGCTTCACCCTTATTTTCACCTACGTGGCAGTAAAAAGTGTTAACCAACTCAAGCAAATTTAAATCCTTTGATACAAATTTGAAGCAGATGTGCTGGTATTGTTTCAAGAAGAAAATAAAAGAAACTATTCATGTTTCTTTTCACTTATTCATTTATGCTTTATCAATAAAGAATTTAAGTCCTACTCCACAGTCACATGCAACAGTGCAGTGATGGATCCTCGAAGGAGATTGAGAGATCTACTCTGGCCCACAACACACAGCGAAGCTCTCACCTGAAGTAAAAGAGGCCTATGTTGCATGTGCGTGGCCATTGGGCCAGGTACAGGACCTGGGAGGTCTAAAGGCGGTCCACCCGGTGGCCCCATCGGAGGCGTTTGGGGCACCATTGGGCGCATTTGGGGCAGCGTAACCGTGCCGGCGGGGTCGGGCCCCATAGGCCCCATGCACACCACCCCAGCCATGGGAGCCATCTATGCCACATGCCGTTAGACGTTAGAGTTAGTATGCGATGACCCAAAACCAAACCTTACATCTAAGATAACTACAGTGACTCCTTCAATAATGTACTGTTCAACTAAACAAATTTGAGATAATTTATTGAAATCACAATGGTTACGTAGTCTTCACAAAACTTTGTCTATTGGGTGGATGAAAATTCAATTAAGACATTATGAAATTGTGCCCTCTAAAATAAATATCCAACTGCAGGAAGTATATCAGACTCAGGCTAGAGTAGAATAAGGTAAGCAAAATTCAGACAATTGAAGAGACAAATTTGACAGCCAACAATGACACAGCACAAAACAAAAACAAAACGGGAATTTTTTTTAGACCATTTATCACAAGTTTCCTACACACAGCATGCCTTCACCACACCACATCAAACTTACAAAATACTGAACAATCATGGTAAACCATGGAAGCAAGCAGAAATCTTTGGATGAAATCAGCCTTACAAGAAGGGGTTGCGAAAATTAACTGCCTTTAGGCGATAGTCATATTCATGCTTGTATGACTCAATTCACAAGGCATCAAGGAGGGGACATAAATTTACTGCATCATGAAAGGAACTGGAGACAAGTTGGTTGTTAATGCTATCCATGCAAAACTAGTTTACAAGCTCTGGAAACTCAGAGGCACTCCTGTGTGGCAGATATCAAGAATTCCACTTATCACCACCATGGCCTCAATCTGACTTGAAATTTCTAATCATAATGGGGTACTCATTCTTCACACCATAGTATCTACTGAACCACACATTGAAGGGATAGGGAAGATAAGACAAGAGATCCTGAGAGCTAGATGTGGCACCCATTTTCCTTTTCTCCGCTGTTGACATTCCAGCTCACTAACCTCACATGCCACTTTTACACAGCAGAGAACCTCATGCACGATACAAGATGAACTCTTTCACGCTTGCTAACAATCAGTTGGAAGAAAATTGCACTTACATGCTGGAGGGAGCCTGGGTAAGGCGGAGGCGGCCCAGGGTACGGTGGCGGTGGCGGCGGAGGTGGTGGAGGTGGTCCTAAGTTGGATCCAACACGGGACACAGCTCCGACGGGTGGTCCTGCTGGTTGCAGGATTTGGCCGTTTTGTCCAACAACTACACGCCCTCCGATTCGCTGCAAATGCTGTATCCTTTGCTGAGGACCTGCAGGAATATTTTTTATGAAATAAAGAAATGGTCACATCTTCCTGTCAAACGTCACACTGAAATAGAAATTAATGGAATCCTAGATCAAGGTACACTTACCACCAGGCATTTGAAGCCTCTGAAGAAGAGGTGGTTGACCTTGGAATGAATTTTGATAGCTGACTGCGACATTCCCATCATTTGCAACAGAATTTGGCTGCTGTTGAGGCACAATGCCAGCACTTGCAATGGGGCCTCCAAGAGAGCCAACAGTATTCGTACCAACAACATTTCCTTGTTGAGAGCTCACCACAGTTTGAACAGTATTTACATCAGTCTAGTTACAAACATTAAAAAAACAAAATAATCATTACAACCACAGATTTACAAACTGATTTAAAAATTAGAGGTCAGCAAACAAATAAAGTACCTGAGAGTGGTGTGGTGTAGAGCCTGGTGTAGAGCTGTTGGATTGCCCCTGTACAGAGACAGAGGCTGTGTTGACCTCATTACTGTGTTCTGTAGAACTGCTGTCTCCAGTATCATTCTTGGGCTGCTGTGCTGCTTCTTTCTTCACATCTGGTTCTTCTAAGTCGAGATTTTCATCAAGAATATTCGTCTTCTCACCAATATCACCAAGTTCAGGATCAGCATACTCAAGAATATTAAAGTCAGCACCCATCTCAGCTGAAACAAATAAAAAAGTTCGTTAAAAATTTCAAGCAAAGTAAATTTTCTTAGAAGAAAATTGTTGAAGTCAAGTGCACCAGCCCTTACCTAACAATTCATCATCATCTTCCACAAGACCTCCGAGAATATCTGTGACATTATCAACTTCAGCCATGGCGCCACCTTCCTGCTCCAGCTTTTCAAGCTCAGCGGTGACGCTGTCAGGTATTTCTTGCGAATCTGCCATCGAGTGCATATTGCCTTGTGCTGGTTGAGAAGAGGCTGGAGGGGCAGGTGCTGGCGCAGGAGCTGACCCTTGGGTAGAGACGCTCTGCACCTGCTGAGATGAAAATTGAACAATGCCGGTCGGCATTTGTTGAGATGTTATTGGTTGTCCCACTGCTATCATCTGTCCCTGTCCCTGAGCCTGCACTTGAGGCTGACTTTGTGTTTGCACAGGAGTCTGAGGTTGTGCTTGGGTTCTTTGATGGATGATGAGGCGTGCTCTGGCATGATCCAAGCTCTGAAAATGGCAATGAATGACGTACTCAGCAAATGGCAAAGCACCCCCCAACATAACAACACCAAGCGAACACTGAGTAATTTTCACAAATGGAATGACTCATTGATAACAAAAAAAGCATGAAAATGAAAATGGCAAAAAATGAGAAGCATCAGTTCAGAGTATAAACTTTAAATTCTGCCTACTGAATTATTTTTCCTTGCCAGAAATCGAGGAAAACCAAACAGATTTCATCATGTATATTGAACAAACTCCATACAATTCTACTTACCGTCAGACGAGCGTCACCCGGTTGGAGCTGCTGCACATGAACATTGTTGGGACTCCGAATAACCACACTGTTGGTTGGGAAGCGAGGTCTAGGAGGCGGCAAGGGCTGACGAAATTCGGTACTTTGTCCCTGTAGCAAAGTTTGTTGCGGCAATGCCTGAGACTGCGGAGGTTGGGCTTCGTAGCCAGGCATCTGAGGTTGAGATATTACCATAGTCTGGTTGGGGAGCTGAGGTGATGCCTGGGATGAAGTATCCGTCTCTGTATTGGCTGATGGATCTGAAAAGCCAAGTAAGAAACAAGGTATTTTTAAAAATGACGAATACTTGCCCTCTTGCTTGAAATAAAGTCAATCGGTAGATTCATACCCGTCCTCATGCCAGGACCCCATATCCTCTGCTGGCCGTCGCCACCAGGCTCCAGCTTTTTGAACTGGTTTCTCTGCAACAGATCCCGCAGCTGCTGGTTCCCCTCCTGACCAGGCATGGGCGTAGGCGTGCCCGGCGTGGCCGGGGTGCCCTGAGCGCTCGGCGTGGTGGCCATGGGGGAGGCCATGGTGGCCGGCTGGCTGGGGGTCGGCGGAGGGGTGGCGAACACGTCCACCTGTGGCTGGGGCCGCGGTGTGGACGGCGGCTGGAGGTAAGGGTCCGCCTGGGGCGGCACTGGCTGCACTGGCTGCGCCGGCAGTGGCCCAGACATGGGCCCCGACATTGGGGCAGGCCGCGGAGTGCCCGGAGGCATGGCGTAGGGGTCCATGGCCACGGCGGGCGAGGGCGAGGGAAGTGTGGCCGGTCTGGCGGGGACCATGGTGGGTGCCATGGCGGGGCCGGGGGTGTACTGTGGCTGGGGCCGCGGCGTGCCTGGCGGCTGCATGTACGGATCCCCCGACACAGTCCTCGTGTATGTGACGGGGCGCGGGCCGGCGCTGGCCACGTTCACCACCGTGTTGAAGGGCTGCAGGAGTAAAAGTAGAGTGTCAGAACACACACAGACTACGGGCAACGAAGACAACCAAAGAGGAACAGCCCAACAAACCTTCCCAGTAGACACCTGCAGCTGGGTAGCCAAGCCACCTGGATTCGGTCCACCTTGTTCCATGGGATATTGAGAAATGCTTCCATCTGGGTTCACATGTCTCCCTAATTTCAATGCTGGTCAGAGAAAAACAACATTAATATGGTCGAAGAGTTGTTGGAAAATTTGTGACCAATGGTTGTTGCTGTACCTTGACTCTGCTGGGTCTGCAAGTGTTGTTGCTGCTGCTGCTGTTGCTGCCTTAAAGCTTGTAGCTGTTTCCATTGTCGCTCTTGTTCTGCCTCTCTACTGTTCTTTTGCTGGTTGATCTTGTCAGAGTCCTGGATGGAGAAACATTACACCGATTAGCAAATTAAAAATACCACTTACCAAATTTTTTTTTATTCTTTTTTCTTTTTTTTTGTAAATTAAGTGGAATGTGATAAATTTTTACTAAAAGCAAAGAGGTAAGATAAAAAATATCCTAAATGATATGGATGCACTTGGATGCACACGGTAATAAAAAGTTCACTAAGAGTTGGAAACCCTAGTATTCATACAAGCTCAAATGCTCAAACATTAATCAAAACCAAAACATTTGCTAATTCCCTGCACTGAAGTTTCAAATGTAAGACATATAGAAGCCAGAATAAAAGCTAATGCTACTGGGCTAAAAAAAAGTAAAATTTGCCAAGACAATAAAATTTGATTGTGGCAGGAGGGGGAGAGAGAGAAAAGTAACAAACTTCAAGGACAATATGAGAGAAAAAAAAAGTTCGATGAGGTAAATGGAGAAAGTTCAACAAGAACAAATTTGATTGCAACACAGAAAAAAAAGCATGAAAAGTGTGCAAACAAGCTACAAGGTCTTAAAACACAAATCTACGTAAGACCAAAATAAACCTGCACCACGATATCGATCCAGCATCCACAAACACACGCACACAAACACAATAGGGTGGAAGGTGATTGAAAAAAAAAAGGATGAGGGGGGAATGGTAGGTTGAAAGATAAGCAAACCAAATATAAATAAGTAACGGCTTGTAACCAAATGATAGATTATCCAATACATGACAGGGTTTGGACAGAGATATTTTGAGTAATGATTATGAACAAAGGATTTAAGTTCCATAAACTCAGCTTCAGTGTAGAAAGGAAGTGTAAATTTCTAGAACTGTTTTACTCCTGCATGACAAATCTAGTTTTCACAAATAAAGTTAACTTGAGAACTAAACTTGATAATTAAACCCATGCAATGAAAACATAATTTTAAATAAAAACAAGAATCTAGTGAAGTAGAGCAAAAAAATAATGATTTTTTTCCAGACACCCTCTACATGAAGTACACCAAAAAAGATCTTAAAAAATTCAGGCACGAGTAATTTTTAACCATATGCTTATAGTTTTTGGCAATGCAACTCTATAGCACAATCTGCTCTACTCATTGACTATTTAAAAAATGACTACAAGGCTCACTGAACACTGACCATACCAAAATTGAACCTTATCTTTTCTTGGTGTTGTAACTCATTATTCCAAGATTTTAAGATAATTCAATTAGCAGTACATTTTGTAAAATTTAAGATGGACACAATATGTACAAGGCCATAAACTGGCACAAAATAGGAGGAAAAAGTCAAATTTGTTCAAAACAGTACTTTAGGTACAGTGATCAGTGCTCTCATTCAAGCACAAATGCTGACAACCATATTGAAAGAAAAAAAGAAAAAACATAACTGGCAGCTGGTAAAAACAACGCCCAAAACAAAATAACAACAAATGCTTTGAATGACTGCGACTGAGCTCACCGATGCCAGTGAGGTTGGCGGCTCGAGGGACGGGAGAGTGCGCATAATCTCGGAAGGGGTAAGGACACGGATTTGTTGGTCGACAGCTGGGATAGGTGCGGCGTTGGTGGTAAGGATCCCCAAGATAGAAGCGGTCTGAATAGTCGCCCTAGGCCCACTCTCTGCATTGCCAACAGTCACACTGGGCGCGGCCACCACCACTGCGTTTGAAGCCCGAGCGAGAGAGGAGGAAGAGATGATGTGTTGCACGGGGAAGTATTGATGCAGCGTGTGCGTGGAGCCCGGCTGCTGCGAGAGCGTTTGAATGGGGAGGAACTTGAGATTGACATTCTCGATGGTGGGCGCGCGGCGCACCACCGAGGGCACCGCCTGCACGGCGTCGCCGGCCGGCGAGTGGTGGATGGTGTGGTGGTGGTGGGGCGGGGGAATGACCGGAGGCGGGTTGCTGCTTTTGGGTTGGGGCACGACAGGCACGACCGAGACGGTCTGAGTGGGTGCTGGTGCTTGTGCTGGTGCAGACGTCGTCACGACCCCACCAGCCACCACCGGGAGGGAAACAGATGTCAGGGACACGGTGGAGGTGATGGTGGGAACCATAGTGGGCACCATAGTGAACGTAGTGAACGCTCCACTCGACGAGCTTGGAGCTGCCGAGGAGAAAACCACAGACGCCACATGGGCCGGGGAGGGCGCAGAGATAACGGTCGGACTGGCTACAAGGGTGTTCAATGCCGCCGCTGGTTGAGGTGCCGGGTTGCTGCCGCTGCTAGCAATCTGGAGGCTGGGGGTGAGTGGGGCGACGAGCTTTGAGGGCGGGGTTAGGGCGGGGGTGGGAATGGGAGTAGGAGTAGAAGAAGGAGTGGGTGTGGGGGTTGGAGTGGGAGGGGGCTGTGGCGTGGGGGGTGGTGGTGTAGGCGTTGCAGGAGTGGCGGGAGGGGTTGGTGTAGGAGGTGCTTGTTCCACACTGGATGCGGTTAGTAGGTCTTCCTCATCGGGCACTGACAAGAGGCCCGTCTCTCCAGAACACACCTCAGGCTGCGAGGTCGGGGCTGAGGCGGAGGGCGAGTTGACGGCACCCACCGTGCCTTGGACCGTGCCCTGGACCGTGCCTTGGACTGGCTTCAGGACTGCGGGCCCACAGGGTGAGGCGCCAGGGGCAGGCGAGGATGCAGCAAGGCCAGCAAGGCCACCCACCGACTGTCGTGACACCAAGGAGTTTTGTTGATTCAGGTTCAAGCGGTACAACACTGACACACAGTGCCCGTGCGTCACCACACAGAACACACATAAACACAGAAACATAGGCACACCACACTTAAAACAAACACAAAAAAATAATCTTACAATTGAAGGGTTAACTGTTTTGAAAGGAGATTAAGAGCACTAGAAAGAGCGAGAGAAACGGGCCACACAACGTGTGAAGCTGAGAGAACAGGCACGTAAAACATAAACATAGAGGGGTGGGGAAAGCCAGGCAAAACACTGACATGGGTTCACATATTTCACTTAATTCGCGGGCTATCACATTTAAGGGATTCCACAACCATGAACACACATTGAAACCCAAAAAGCAAACATCAACACATCTCTGAACATAGAAAAAAAAATTGCCTGCACAATGTGAATGTTCAGTTGAATGATATGGGAGTATGGGAGTTTCAATAAGGTACTAATTATAATTTCGCTTAAAAACTTGAACTCCCTGCCTCTGTATTCATTTTGAAAGTAACAAAATACTAATAAAACTCTCTTTAGAGTTTTTAGAAAATTAAAGAACAAATGGCAGTAAAATTGATAGAGAGACATGAATAAAGAGGAATGTTGGAGCTAACTTTATAATTGTGAGCCTATTGATAAAGAAAAAAAAAAAAACAGTTTGTTGAAACTGACCTGGTGCCCTTTTTTCAATTTCTGGTTGGTCCTGTTTTCACGAGCCTGCTGAAGATAAGGAGATTTCTGTTCAGATGGTAAAACCCTCCATTTCTTAGCTATCATCCTGCACCGGTCAGCCCAAGCTAAAAAGAGACAAAAAGATTTTATAAGTAAAACTATGCAATGACAGAAAAAAAAATCAATTCAACTTAGTTGGATTGAATTATTTAAATTGACATACCAGGGTAATCCTTTTTCCATTCAGGATGATTAATATTTGCATACAAGACAGCAGAAATTGTTGCATTCTTTCCAAGAGCTTCATCAGCTTCCATTCGCTCGGTGTTGCCGCTGCGAGCATTCTTCACCTGACCTGGCACAGGTTGTGAACCATCATTGCTGAGGCCTCCAAGCGAACTATTGTCAACATCTCCACTTTGAGATGAGATCCATGGAGAATGTGGAGGCTCTGAGAAAGCTGGACTGAATTGTGGACTACTGTAAATAAGAGACACACATGATAAGTGAGAATTGCAGACATCAAAAATTATAGTGACAGGAAATTATAATAAAAATCTTAACGTACTTGCTGTACTCTGATTGGTAGGGAGAAGGTGGTGGAAAACTCATAGGTGAAGAAATGTTGGACTGTACTGCCTGAGTGCGGGCAATGTTCAGCTGAGGGGGTACAACTGGAAAAAGGAGGAATGTTATTTTTTTTTTTCCCAAAATAAGCAAAAATCAACAAGGATGCAATTGCAAAGGATTCAAATCAACATAACATACCTGGATGTTGTGATGGTGAAGCAGGAACATTACTGTGAGTGGATAAAACTTGACCAGGAACAGAATTCATGGGGAATACATTACATTCTTGAGATTCTTGAGATTCATCAGTGAGAACACCTTTGAAAATCTCTTCAACATCTCTGCTATCCATGTTAGGCAGCCCTAGAAGATACAATGAAACCAATGATAAGACAATCAAACTTACCTACTTTATCTGGTACAATTCATAGGTTGTATGTAACCTGTATGCTATACTAACCAGAATCTGGAACCATACAGTCTAAATTGAAATTGGGGCTGAGAATATCAGCCAATTCATCCTTGTGTGCCTGACTAGAAACATCTAGTTCTGTGTCTCCACCAATATCATCTAAGTTTTCCTCAGTCTTCATGTCAGGTTCTTCATTCATTATAGTGTTAACAAGATCTGCATCCAGCAGATCATGTGGTACATTTGGGATATCTTTGAGTACCTCCGCATCATAAGAATCATCTTCTTCCTTGATGGGCGACTTCAAGGCAATGGCTGACTCTACTTTGATACGTTCAGCCTGCTCTGCTTTCTCTGCTTTGAGAGCCTTTTTAGCCTCCTCAGCCTTCTCAGCTGCTTTCCTTGCCTTAACTTCTTCAATTGCTTTAATTTCATCTTGTGATAAGGTGATTGTTTTATCAGGTGTAACAACCTTCAATCTGTCTGACTCCTCTGAATCACTTGCACTACTGCTACTTGCCTGATCTTTACTTGTTTCAAGAAGTTCTTTGCCAAAAAAGGCCTCTTGAAGGTAAGATGGATAATTTTCTACTAGTTTGGATTTTATCTTCCTACGCATGGGTTTACGTTTAGCAGGCTTGTCATCACATGATACAGGCACCACACTATCATCGAGACGCCCAAAAGCATTGCAGGTTTCCAGAGCGTCATCATTCTCCTCACGATACCTGTTATTCCGTAACCGTGCATTGAAACCACCAATTCCAAGATTTTTCAGGTTCCGAACTCTGATACGGCGTAAGACTAGATTGCCAGTTTTTGAAGTGTGAATAGTGAAGCCTTCGGGTGGTTCAGGAGGAGATCCATCTTCTTTTGGTGCAACAATCATTCCATCACGATAAAATGGTTCCTCGTCATCATCTCCATCCCCATCTCCTTGATCTTTGCCTGCAAAAAAACCCAACAAAAATACACAATTTAAAGGGGAGTTCCAAAACCAAAATAATTATGACATAAAAAACAAACAGAAGAACACTTACTACCATCCAGATCTAATCCATCTCCATCAGTTTTAGATGGTAGGACAACAGGCTCCATTTGAGCAAGCATTTTGCGGTTAAAACGCTTTTTCTTTGGATCATTCATTTGTCGCTTTTCTTTCTCAATTTCAAGTGACTTGATGAGTAAAAGGCCTGATTCTGACAAGATAACACCATCTTTCTGGAATTCCTGCCTTCTTCTATGCAAATGATCTGAACAACACCAAAAGACAGATATGAGAGACTTGACATATAAGGAGTCACCCAAATACAGAGAGCCTAAAGAAAGGGGAAGTTACCTGGACTTCGCGGAGGAGAAGGCATTCTGATAGGTCCTGGCAGTGGCAAGGGTTTGGGTTTGGGCTTAATCATAGCAGGTGGTAGAATGAGATGAGGAGGGGGAACGTGGTGTGGACGGCAGAGAACACAATTGTAACCTTCCTCAGCACACTTTTCTGCATCGGCTTCAGAACGAATACGGTCACACATACAATGCAACCACCGTTCACAGCGGACACATTTGATAATGAGCTCACCCTCACCATAACTATCCTGACATACAGGGCAAATGGTTCGTGAAGAGCAAGGACCACACTCTGTGAAACCTTTGAGCCAATGACAGTTAGGGCCAGGCTCATTTGCTCCACAAGTATGGCATTGAACACACCTATGAGATAATCAAAAACCGTTAATGTGAAATCAAGTAAAGAAGAAAAGGACAATATGTAAAGCTATAATCAACAACAATACCATTTGCACTTCCAGTTGCCATGTGGCACATAATCCAAAGGTGGGTCCATACAGTAAATGTGGTAAGAGATGTCGCAGTCATCGCATAGAATAAGTCGAGACTCGTCATGCCTTTGCCCACAGCCTTCACAAACTGTACAGTCCAAGCAGCGCCACCCTTTTTGAAGAATTACTTTGGTGATCTGGAAAGCCAAAAAAGGTGGGTAAATGTTGGTAAACCTATTTGGTTTTCTAAACATCACTTTAATAAGAGATATCTGACCTTGACATTGGCACAGTAGGGGTGGTAGCACTGGCCACACTGGGCACACGCTATCAAACAACCTTCTTGGTCCTGACCCAATGCTCCACACATGACACATACATCTTGATACAAGACAAATTTATCCTTAGCAGAAACCAACACAAGTCTGTTCTCGTCCTCATGATCATCATCTTTCTTGGATTGAGTAGCATCAACTTGGGGTCTCTAAAATTTCAACAAATAATATGATAAAAGAGGATAACACATTGTGAAAATTAATACATACTGTATCATAAACACAAGTTTACCTGTAGACCGAGACCGGGCACGCCAAATACTCCTCTCATCTTTGATTTGGCCCCACGCTTGCGCCCAAATTCCGGATTTTTCTGGTGTTTCTTTTGATAAGGACCAGCTATACCTCCCTTTCGGCCTGACATTCCAACATTCCTTGCACTATAAGATTGAAGACTCATCAAAAGACTGTTAGATAAGCCCAATTTCTTCTTTGGAATTTTTCCGGCACAGAAAGGCTTGCCTTTCCCCAGGCCAATTCCAGCTACACCAACTTCAGAGTCAAATAGTGCCACCTGTGAACAATTTAAGAAAGAGAAACTTAGTTACATTTATTCATTATTTTGATGATGCTGGAAAGATAATACCGAGAAGCACTGAATAAATAAATACCTTATCTGATGACATGTCTAATTCTCCAAAAAATTCATCAGACATGAGTGATTCTTGAGATGCACTAAGACTTGAGTCTCCATCTTCAATACTATTTTTTCGCTTTAATTTGTTTGTCAAATCTTTGCATTTAGTACAGACATACTCATAGGTCGGTTCAGCCCTTCTGCGTTGATGATAGGTGGGCAGGTCTGCTTCAGCATCACAGGAACTATGCACAGCTTTCCGACAAATGGTACACTGCACCATCTCACGGACTGCAGCTGCTCTATATGCTCTTTTGCATATTGGACAATAGTACCCCTTATTTCTTTGTTGATAACACGAGTCACAGACCGTGTAATGAGCATGCCACCTTGAGGAATGTCCAGCGCCTGGAGTCCGAGAACCACAGTCCGTACATATTCGGCAGTACTGCAAATAATTTAAAAAAAAAAACATTCAGAATATGGAACTTTCAAAACAAATGGCATGTGCCTGAATGTAAGGATCAAATCCCACCTTGCACTTCCACCCCAATTTTGGTATGGAGGTAACAATGGGACGTTGGCAAGTGGGGTGGTATGCCTTATCACATTTTTCACAGAGCATTATTTTAGTATGGTCCATTTCTTTTAATCTGCAAACTTGGCAACAGCGGCAATCAGCGCATTGCCACCCCGCCCGCACTTCAGGAAGAAGAGCCATTCCAACACAAGCACCATGGTAATGGCTACCACACGCACTGCACATGGTTAAATTTGAAACATCTCCCAGTGTGTTGCACTTTCTGCACGAGACATCGCCAACACCCAGGAGAGGCACTTGATCTAGGTGCAGGTTACAAATCAGTGTGTGGGTCTTGTTACAGTGGAATCCCCCTGAGGCAGCTGCACACGGCAAGTGAAAATGTCTTGGACAGCCTGCAAACTGGCAAGCAACACTGGCCCCAAATCTCCCACAGTTGACATATGCACAGCGGCGACCCACGCTGTCTACTACTGTTGTGGCAACACCTTCCAAAGCACCCTCAGCAGAGCGAGAAACTCCTGATGACCACACAGCACAGCTGTAGTGCGCGTAGTACACCCCTGAGAAGCATAAAATTAAGAAGTTTAGTAGGGTGATGCTATAAGGGGACAGAGAATCATCAATAATAAGAAACCAAATGCTGCACTCACCTGCATCAAATAGAGATGTTTGATCAATTTCATCGGCGTAACCAACTATGCTCAATTCATCAAGTACTTCATTGAGATTATTCTGAAGACTATTCCGCTTTGACATGTATTTACGACGACTTTGAGGAATGAGCATACGAGGGCTTTTGTCGCCAGCACTAGTAACTGGGCTATCCTTTTCCGATTCCCCAACGCTACCAATGGATTCTTGAGAAGGGCTCATCATACCATCTCTGGTAGGTGTAGATGCAGACGATTTACGAGGATCGAAGCCATCAGGACAAACAAGCCTCAGCATTTCTCCCTGCCCAAGCTGTGATTTTTCTGGTAAGTTACATAGCGCACAGACTTTGCCTGGCCTGTCAAAATTCAGAAAAAAAATTAATTAAATTATGCAACACATCGTGATGTAAAAATGTAAGTTTGAAGAGAGTAGCTTACCATTTTTCAGGAAAGTAGGGAGGTTCTTCTGGTGCTGGCATAGATGGTTTCTCTACAGTAATCATACCCATTTCTGTTAAATTGATCAAGGAACTTGTTATGGTAAAATGGCTGGGTGAGGTGATGTGTAGGGGAGAATCACGCATGGGGCTTGGGCTCTTGTTCAACCCAAGGTCCTCTCGAAGAGGGCTATTTTTTGGTGACTTATGTAAGGCTTTGGCCATGTCATTCAGGAACCCAGGCAAAGGGGCCCTAAAAGTACACAAGGAAAGAGGAAACATGACAATCCATTACATGGGTAAAGCAAACACAATAATTGGACTAGCAAAGTTACAAACCCTTTCCATTTCTTCACTTTGAAGCCAGGTGGCTGCTTAGGTGGTGTTGCATACCCTAGATCCCCTTTCCTTGGTCGCCCTCGCCCTCTTCGTATGTTTAGGGGTTTCCCCAGACCACCTGGAAATAATTTTTTTTAGTAGGAGAAAGTTTTACATTAAAAACTGTCATTTAGATAAGACAGAAAAAAAGGTTTTTTAGACTTTTAATATTGAAGCACTTCAGCCGGGACAAACCTTTGGGTACATGAGTTTTTCCGCTTAGAGAAAACACTATGGTATCTTGGGGAGTAGATGAAGGGAATGAAAATTCCTTCACCAAATCTTCCTCCTCATCCTCTTCATCATCTTCCTCATCTTCCTCTTCTTCTCCATCTTCTGCTGAATCTTCATCTATGTCCATTACCTCCTCTACAGGAGACATTAACTTTGTTTCCTCCTCGTCAGCCATTATGCACACGAACTGAGCTGCTTTAGCAACCTTTAGCTAATAAAGGCATCTAAATCTAGAAAACGAAAACAAGAAAAAATTTATTGGGAAAAGTTCAAAATTACTTATGAGACATGAAAACTACAAATAAATAACAATCTTAAAGGCATTATCACAAATTAACTAGAACAATTAAATCAATACGGAGGTAATGGAGACAATAAAAAATGAGAATAGTGCGATAAGGCAAAGTAAAATTATGAAAATGATTGACCAGTAATAAAGCCACGACTACATTGTTATTGAAATGGCAATGAAAATAAAGATTTAAAAAAAAAAGAAACATAACATGATCAACTTCAGAAAATGAAGGTAAGGTTAGAAAACTAGCTTCAAACAGTCAAGAACGTTCTCAAGTACTAATAAAATACAAAATACAAGTTTGATACGTTGCAATATTGGAAAATATTCCCAGAATGTAATTGCCAAAAGTTTTCACACACACAATGAGTTGAACACAAAAACATAACCACACTAGGGTAAAGAGCATAGCTCCGAATGAAACGTTGTTCACACACAATCGCAGAAAGAGTGAATACATTAGTACATAAATATTATGCCAAAAAAGGGTGAGTAGTTGTGAAGTCAAATTGACAGTGAGAAAAGTACATTTTTCGTGATTGAGAGGAGGTTGGGTTGACGGTAAACAGAATCTCTTTGCAGTAGGCCTTGCCTGCAGACAAGAAGCAGTCGATCCCTCAAACCAAGCGCCGGCATATTCCTGACGTGTCAAATAGCTAATCAGAGATAAAACCTAAGCCGTTGAGCTTATTATTACACTTATTTGAGATTTGAGAGAACTTGTTTTCTTGTTTTGAACCAAGCTAAACCCCAGTCACGGCGGGTGCTTCTCCGCTCCAAACGAAGCCAGAACAACATTGACTTATCCCCGCACCACCAAGTATTACGGTGTAGAATACCATCACTTACCTAAGGAATTGCGTAAATATTTACAAATGCCATCATAAGCTAGAAATATAAGATATAATACACCGGTTAAGTCTAAATGGCCTAGGCCTACACAAAACATCCATTGCAAAGTGTTTGCATTTTAGACTACCTCTTCTGTAGACTTTCGACGTCTCTTTCAATCATCGACGTAACTACGTGTTTCAACACATACCCCAGTAGATACTAAACAGTCAATGTGTAATCAGAGAAAAGACAAAATATCGAGATTTTAAGGGAAATCGGAATAATATATTCAATGGAGGATAAATAAACCAAGACGGTGCGCAGTCCACTGTTGACGCAACAACGCTAGACGCGCGTGGCAGCCTGGAGTGCGGTGGCGTGCGCCAGGCCGGCCATTTCGACGCCGCGCCGCTCGAACGAACCCACGTGGAAGGCAAATGAGTCTCATTAGGGATTCTGATGAGGGGATTTACCACTTGGCCCCAAAGGGACGCGGCCATTATCATTTTCCACTAATCTCCTTCGAATCCCGGGCCGAAATTTCAAAGATAGCGCCCTCCAGAACAGCCACCCGCAGTCGGCGAGATGAGGGTTTCCTCGTTTCCCTGCCTCTTCCCTTTCCCGCCACACACCCCTCCCCGCAGCGGTCGGTCACCGTCACCAGCCCGTCAGCTTCTGCTGTCTGAACTGCCAGAGCCGTCTAGTTTTGTTTACTCCTGCTCTATTTATTGCAAGCGTTGCCCTTTTACATTGCATTGTGTCATGCCACGGCAGTCGTGCAGGTGATGTGGTCGTTTCCATTGCAGTGAGGCAAGCCAGGTTTCTCTGTGATGAACTCATATCATCTGTCAATGTGTTGGCAAGGTTAATCAGCTGAAAAGAGGCATAACAGGTGGGTGAATTCACCACCCATTCGCTTCGATCGCTGACCTAACAGTTTCCCGCGCACTTCGCGCGGCTGTTGTCCATTTATTGAAACGGGAATTCTACAAACCTGTCGCTGCACGCATTTTCTTTTCCCTCCATATGTTTCCTTGCATGGCCCTTCCCTATTAGCATTCAATCTATTTTACCAAGACACTTGATTTCAGGTGGTTGAACTTGCAGCAATGGATTACGATTATTTAATTAAATTCCTTGCGCTCGGAGACTCGGGCGTAGGGAAAACCAGTTTTCTGTATCAGTACACAGATGGCACATTCAACACAAAATTCATATCAACTGTTGGAATTGATTTCCGAGAAAAACGCCTGGTGAGAGATTTTCTTGATCACTGTGCCCTGATTTTTTTTCAACTTATCAGTGTAGTAATGTGTGAATAATCATGTCACAATGACAGATGTATAGAGGAACAGGGCGAAGCCAATGGGTACATCTTCAACTATGGGATACAGCTGGCCAAGAAAGGTATGTTATTTCAATTCTGCCCACTTTGCTAGATTAACAATTGCTAACTAAATAAAGGGAGTGGCACTTAGACACCAAAACTAATAGTGATGCTCAAATGCTTTTAACATCCGAAGATGGCTTGAGACCTTAATGTTAGTTTAAATGTGAAATATACCCTCTAGATGCACCATGTAGAATTTGTGTGTAGATTCCGTAGCCTGACAACAGCCTTCTACCGGGATGCTATGGGCTTCTTGCTGCTGTTTGACTTGACTAACGAGCAGAGCTTCCTGGAAGTTCGAAATTGGCTGGACCAGCTGAGGGTATGGACTTTCAACTGCTTTAGTCAAGTAGAGGATATGATTAATATTGTACTTAAATTGTGTTAGTTGATCTATCTTGCAAGGTGCTGAAGATGGAGACACTGGTAATTTCAATGCTTTACATCCTTGATTTATACTTTGCAGACTCACGCCTACTGCGAAAGCCCAGATGTGATACTGTGTGGGAACAAAAGTGACCTGACTGACCACAGAGTCATTAGTGAGGCACAGGCGAGAGATGTTGCTGACAAATATGGGTAATTAGGAATCAGTTTCAAACATGACCATGCCAATCCAGTCCTGCCCACCACCATTAATTTGATCAAACATTTGCAGGTTACCATATTTGGAAACAAGTGCTGCCACAGGACACAATGTCGCACTTGCCATCAACATTCTCTTGGACAGAGTAATGGCCAAGATGGAGCTCGCCATAGACAACCCTGTTTTTCCAGCACGTCAACTGAAGTTACCTCAAGCCATCCCTTTGAAATCTAGTCAACCATCCCAATGTGCGTGCAGTTTGCTGTAGAAAATTGTTCAGATCTGAGCTTGTATTGAGCAACTGAATAAATTTATAGAAACTGAAGGTTTTATCAAAATCAACATGATTAATGCAATACAAAACAAGGAGATCAAATACAAAAACAATAACAATTTTAATATTTTTTATTTAACACCCACACACACTCAAGCAGTAGCCTGGGCAGCAGCAGCAGCCTCTTCTTCCTTGACACGGTCCTTCTTCCTGGGACCCATGAAGGCAGCCTTATCAGCAGACGTCTGGAAGCGACCGTGGCCAAACTTGGATGAGGTGTCGATGAACTTGAGGTTGATCTTCTCCAGAGCAACCCTCTTGGTGTGGACAATCAGGGACTGGAAAGGAAAAGCAGTTAATACAACAAAGCACAAAAGAATGCTGCACAACCAAGTAAAATTAAAAAGAGTGCTTCAATACGTGAAGCAAACAGGTGATATAATTAAAACCAAACTAGTATAAATGAGAATATTGAGTAGAAATGATATTTACCTTCCTGAGGGTGATAACACGCTTCTTGGAACCAACAACACACCCCTTGACCATGAGGAAGTCATTGTTAACTTCACCATAGTGAGGGAAACCACCCATGGGTGTGATGGACTTCTCAGTTAAATCATACTCAGTGGAGGCATTGTTCTTAACAACCTGAAAGGAAGAAAAAACACATTAGCAACTCACACCCTTAACAACCCAGCACAAAATTTCATGGCAAAGTCAAAGGGGAACAGAGGGAAATTCAATGTACCTTGCCATCCTTGACGTGAACACCCTGGCCAATCCTGTAAATCTTCTTGTTCATCTCAGTTCTGTGGTGGTAACCCTTCTGACCGGCACGGGCCACTGTGAACGAGACTCTGCTGGGATGCCAAGCACCAATACAAGCAACCTTACGCAGACCCTTGTGAGTCTTGCGGGGAAGCTTCTTGGTGTGCCAACGGGAGGTGACACCTAAAAAAGGAAATCAACTGTTACCAAAAATAATCTGAAGAGAGCAAGTGAACTATATGCAGACACTTACCCTTCACTCCATGACCCTTGGTAACACCAATGGTGTCAATCATCTCATCAGGAGAGAAGACGTTGGAAACTGGGATGGGCTTTTCCAGGTGTTCACGAGCCCATGCGATCTTGTCAGCAACAGTGCCACCGTTAAGCTGGATCTCCATAATGTGAGCCTTCTTCTGGTGGTGCCTCAGGAGCTTCATCTGAAGATAAAACGAACAATGAGAACCTCAAGAAACAACAATTCAATGAGTAACTAAAATGGATAAACACTATGAGATTTGTACAAGACATGGTTTGTCTCCCTGGATGAATCACCAGAAAGATTATGGAATATGCCGGGCTTCCGCTCACCACAAAGCAGGAGCAGAATTCCTTTGCGAAGCCATGGTTAGGACTAAACTGCACAAATGTCAAGCAGCTCCACACCATTAAGGTCAGGACAGCTAGTTTCCCAGCAGCCTTCCCTCTTCAGCTTCAAAGTGCAGAAACATCAACAGGGTACTAACCTGAGTGTGGCAAATGACCCTGATGACTTTGCAGTAGCGAGCCATCCTCTTCAAAGTCTTGTCAATGGACTTGCGGCCAAGATCATCCTGCCACTTCTTGGCAGACTTGGTGAAGGCCTTCTTCTTTGACTTGTACCTATGAATAACAACATTTGGGGTAGGGAGGAGAGGACAAGGATAGGGTTCAGGAGCAGGGGATTGAGGGAAGGAGATCTGGTTGCAATCTCCAACACCCATTTGCAGCATGGGCAAGCTCATCTCTCATCGGAAAACCGAGTGGAGAGCTATACATACGTTTAGTCACAGTCAAAGCAAAAGTCCGATAGTTCAAGGTACACTGGAGATAATTGAAAGATACTGATGGAAAAGAAGGTGTTCGTACCAGTTCTTGTAGAATCTACGACGGCAGTCTTCTGAAAGATGCTCAGCCCAGACAGAGTTGAGGGCTCGCATGCCATAGGGAGTATCGAGGTAACCCACGATTCCAACAACCACCATGGGGGGAGTTTCAAGGATTGTGACAGCCTCCACAATCTCTTTCTTGTTAAGTTCTGGAAGTCAAAAGTGTATTATTAGAAACAAGACAGAAAACTGATGGAAGAAGTGGCAACTCATCTGACAGCACCACTCAGACCGCCCTGACATATCACCATTAGAATCGGATATAAATTGTACACACAGGAAATCATCATTGGTAAAGTGAACAATAAAGTTTCAAATTCTGATTTTAAATATAGGTCAAAATCAAGATGAGTAACTTGACAGCAAGCCTAGTTGCAAAGCAACAGAGTTAAAAAATTATGCCTCAGTCCTATCATTAGAAAATATCACATAGCGATCAAAGAATGAGTGTCGGCTCAATGAAAACTCATCACTGGCACAGCTTCAAAAACGACTCAACAATATGTAAGATAAATAATGACGTCAGTAGGAAGGCAGCATGGGTGTATCCACATTGTGGGTTAAGACGGAAACATGCTTTTTCATCATAGCATTATTTTATAAATGAGGAGCAAGATAGTTACATTCTATGCTATATACATCGCTCAGTTCGCCCTAAACTGACCTCATTGGTAGTCAGATCAATCCATAAACTATCAGAATCGGAAATCATCAACGCATAGGATGTTCAATGGAAATTGTTACAATACAGAGCTTAAAATAAATCTACCAGCTTCAGTAGGAAGGCAGCATGGGTGTATCCACATTAAGGGTTAAGACGGGAACATGCTTTTTCATCATTTGGTAGAAAACTAGGAAAGTGATTGACCATAAGTGTTAAACATCCAACTCTCAGTTCGCCCTAAACTGACCTCATTGGTAGTCAGATCAATCCATAAACTATCAGAATCGGAAATCATCAACGGGAGGGATGTTAACACCAGAATTGCACCAACAAATGAACTTTGATATCAAATAAAGCAAACGGCAGGAAGGCAACAGAGCTGCATGAGTTACAATGAAATAGTGCCTCAGTCCTATCATTAGGAAATATCACATGACGATCAAAAAAATGAGTGTCGGCTCAATGAAAGCTCATCACTGGCACAGTTTCAAAGATACATCAGTATTTATGAGATGTAATGACATCAGTAGGAAGGCAGCATGGGTGTATCCACATTGAAGATTAAGACGTAAACATGCTTTTTCATCATTGGGTAGAATAAAAGGGGAGAATGATACATCAGGATTGTTTGAACATCCAACACTCAGTTCGCCCTAAACTGACCTCACTGGTAATCAGATCAATCCATAAACTATCAGAATCGGAAATCATCAACGGGAAGGATGTTAAACTGACACTGATGCATTCGAGTAGTACAGTAACCAAGTACAACAGCCAGGAGTGTACCTTAATAACGGCTCTAAACTCTACGAATATCGGTGGAGGGACGTGCTTCATACTGAAAATGCACTTACTTGAACCAGGTCGGTCAGCCTCTCGCACGACGTGGGTCATACCAGCCTTGTAGCCGATGAAGGCCGTAAGGTGGACAGGCTTGGAGGGGTCATCCTTCGGGAAAGCCTTTACCTTGCCGCGGTGACGGGCAGCGCGCTTCTTTGGGTAGAAGCCCATGGACCCATGTCGGGGCGCGCTGAATTTACGGTGCGACTGGAAACAGGAAAACCACTAGTTCATGGCATGTCGAGTACTCCACTACACGGCAGACCGACCGACGCCATGCTGTGCCGAGGAGGTTAGATCGCCGGCGAGCCAAAGTGCAATTTTTAGAAGTATTCGCAAGGACGAATCCGACAAGACAGACCGAAAAAGAACCGTAACGAAAGGCAGAATGTCAATCAAAGAAGTAAGTCCTTGTAAAAAGTAAGTTATTGCGAGCGATATAGTCACGCAAACGTAATCAACGTGGCTTCTAGTTCTTACAGAACACAGCCGTACAAATAACAAAATCCACTCGATAGAAACAAAATTAATGGCAACTGATATCTGAGGAAACGAATAGATCACCATGATATTGTGTATAAAATATTTTCAGATGGATGTCCCTGGATAAGTGCACCGATATTACAGAACAGAAGGAGTACATACCATCGCGACTCGACGACCGGAAAGAAGTGGACGATCTGACGGTGAGGGGAAAGGAGGAAACCGGCGTCGCTTTGCGAGTCGCTTCAAAATTCTGCCACTAGGCGCGCTAGCATCGAGAAGAAGAAGAAAAGAAGTGCATAACAAAACAAGCGTAAAAGATCTTCCACTTCCAATGCAAAAAGAATTTAGCACCGTGCAAATCCCACTGTAAATTCGCCGATTGCAAAGACACTACCCATCGTACTTTTTCTATTTTTATTCTGACCGCCATTGACCTCTAGTTCGATAGATCGAGGCTCTGTGTTCTCTTTTCGTGAGCAGCTTTTTGACCGTACCCGTTTCCTCGTTGTAGTGGCGGGACAATTTTGAAGGGTCAACAATTTAGGACCCGTCTTCTTTTATGTATCTCGTACCCTTCTCCCAAGTACGGCTCAGTTGCCAGTTTCTTTTTGTTATTTTTGAAGACTGATAAATTTCATTCATGGTAAGTAATTTAAAAAAAAGGCACTCGTTTTTTGTCTTTTTTAAACAAATATTGGTATTTATTTCATTTTATTGTATCATCATGAAGTCATAACAGCTATTAGGAGGGATATTACATGAACATTAACACTGTTCCCCAGCAACCTATATTTTTGCTTCAGCGTAGTTTTATCCGGAAAAGTGAAGTGCTCAGGGAAGCACATCAATCTTGCTACTTCTCTAGGTGTAAAATAACGTAACTGCAATCTTTTCATATCAAGAATTTGTTCTTCACTATCAAGAGATAGATTTCTGTTATTTGCCCTAAGCTCGTGGACGTCAGCCAATTTCCATGTTGTAAGAACAGATCCAGTACCATCAGAATAATGTCCATAAGCTTTGGTGAAACAACAAGATCGTTTAGACAATGGTGTGACAATATCTAGAACTACAGAGCGCTTCCCTAAAACATTGTCTGGCAGTAAAAAATCTCTGACCCTTGGATTTTCGGGATTTTCTTCTTCCAATATTCTCTGTATGGTATAACATGGTGGGTGCACTACTCCACCATCTGATGGAACTCTGTTCTCATTTTCAATAAGTTCATCTTCCTCAGCCATTTTCCTGTGTTTTATATTCAGCTTTTCAAGTATTCTTTGTGTAGTCTTACCATGATCGAGAGATACCGGAAATTCTGTCATCTGAGAAAAAATGAAAAAGCAAAATAAGTTCTATGTAAACAACCCAGAAGAGAACAGACACAAAGTAGATGCTATTGGCATAAACAAAATAAATCACTTAAAGCACTAACCAAAGAAACGTTTTTGAAGCAAAATGTCTCTTTTTCAACAGACTTGACAACTCTCTTGGCAAGCAAATAGTACCGAAGTCTAGAGTTTGGAATACCAAACTGCATTGGACTTAGCAAGAATTCTTGAACCACAAAATTCTGCTTTTCGAGTGCATATACTAGTTGATTTCTTGATTCAGATGATTCAAATCCTTTCACATTCTCTACCAGAATGTAATTCAAATTTTGAAGATCTTCAAGTAAAGATATAATATGTAGAAGGGCACAAGTTCGATGATCAGAAACATCTTTCTTCAGGCCAACTCTGAAACATACAAATGCACATGCTGTAAAAAATATATTTCTGAAAACTAAAGCAATTGGAAGACTTCCTTCGATTATAATAACTAGGTTTACCTAGTGAACGGCTGACACGGTGGACTCATTAATAACATATCTGGTGCCAGTTTGTTGATTTCGGATGCAGTGAGAGACTGAATATTTCGGCATATCAATGGAACGGACGGAAAATTATGTCTGTAAACCTCATTGGCAATTGTGTTGATATCAGCTGCAGCAACCACTTCATAAGGTATGCCACTTTCTGAAACACCAAAACAGCAAAAGTAGAGTTAGGATTAGCGCTAGTATTTGACGAAGTAATGTCGTAAATGCATACGAAAAATACCTTGACATGCATAGTGCATTCCTCCAATGCCACTAAAGAGTTCTAATACTTTCATTCTTTCGAAACAACAAGTGTACGTTTCGTTCACTTCGTTTTCGTTTCGTCCCGGGTAGCAGACGATGTGACACATCCCACGCCGCCAGTTGGAGGTTAGCTAGCCCCCCCCCTCCCCACCACCACCCCCCACTCGCGATGCGGGCTTGCCTACCCACAAGGGGCGAAGATCCACCGCATGGGCATGGAACTTGAACTTGAGAGGCTAGACCACAACTGATACTATACCGTTCGGGCCCGGTAACTGCCATACTTGCATTGCACAACATGACATACCGTCCGTACAAAGGGCAGGAACCTTTACCTCGGCGGCCGGGGTCATATGCCACACCGCACCAAGTTCCCAGTGAGAGCAGTCCTTTGGACTGATCATCACTGCGAGCTTATACCGAGTCCGGCCCTCTGGGCCACTGGTAGATTGGGCGCTGGATGACTCTTCTCAGTGATAGCCACCTGGTTTGGATTGGGTGCAGCCTCCTTAATCCTTAAGACGTTTAGCTCTAAAGTTGTCTGATACTCTGCGTGTTGTGCCCTCCTTCTGCACATGATTACAGAAAGTTGTAAATGTTTCGAGCAGGGTCTTCGCAGGCAAAATTTCGCACGCCTCACTGGCTCATTGGTGCAAAGAGTGGAGATGCGCTTTATCATGCCCGCGCAGAGTTCCTTCATTGGCAACAAGTTGTTCATTAGATGACAGCCGTCTGATCCGAAGACAAAAGCATTTGAGAAAGGGATTCCATAATTTTCAGAAGTTAAGAGACGAAACAGGTTTTTCAGCTGTTGCGCCACAGGCTGCAGGAAATTCTAAAATTTACTTAGATGGGGCGTGTTTTTACCTTGCTACCCTAAGGCTCTCGTCACGATTCTAACTGGTGCACCAGTTAGAAGCAGACGCCTCCTCGTCACTTGCATGCACCAGTGTCACTCCTACACTGTTGTCACCACCGTGTCCGTGACTTCGGCCTTGCTCTCCCCTGTCCACACCTCTCAATCCCTTCCCTCCCTTTAAAAGTGAGTCCCCAAAACTTTACAGCCACGGCACCTCTCGCCTTGTTTTGACCCTGAAAAGGCGGAGTCTGCTGTCGGAAAAGCTGCCCATGGGTGAGACCCTGGAAACGCGGTGGACCTGGCAACTCTAGGGCAACACTGCCACGCAGGGCTACGCCGTGGCTACGCAGGGCGCTGGGCTACGCCATGGCTACGCGCTACGCAGGGCGCAGGGCCCTTGGCGGGCCGCAGCAACAGTTTCCGAGGGCGAGCGGTGGCAGGGCGGGCGCAGCGAACGCAGGCGGGGAGAAGGGCGCACGGCCCGCACGGCACGACCCCGTGCGAGGGAGAGGGAGGGGGTGGGGTCCGGGCCCTCTAGCTGTGGCGTGGCGCGGGTGGCGCGGGCGCTGGCCGTCCTCTCGGAGCTCGGCGCCCGCCCGCTCAGCGCACAGCGCCGCGGCGCCGCTCAGCCAGTGACGCCCTGGACGCCACGCCGAGTGGAGTGCGACGCGACGCAGCACGGCCACGCGACGCCACGCGAAGCAGCGGGGAGGAGCGAATCGCGCGGTGCGCGGTGCGGTGCGGCGCGGCGCCGCTCTCTGGAGCACGCAGAGACGAGCGGAGGCGAGCGGAGCGCGGCGTGCGGCGAGCGCAGCCGGAGCCAAGGCAACGCAAGGCAACGTGCCAGAGGCGCCAAAGGCGAGGGCGGAAGGGGCGGAAGGTGTCGCGCCGGGCCGGGGCCGGCCGGGGCCACGCGGGACCCTCGCCTGCTAGACCCTCGCCGTGGTCCAACGGGTGCCACGGCGCCGAGTACGCCGCGCAGCCAGCACACCGTCTTCACACATAGGTAGGCCTGCACGCACACCCCCAGACTCATTCCGAAAGTCGTTTTCGTTGCTGTGTCTCTCTCGCACTCACACCGGACATCCCACGAGTGCGACAGAGACACAGCGACGAGAACGGCTCTCGGATTCAGTCTGCTGCACGGGGACGGGGTTGGCCGCATCCCGGCCGGGCACCGGGGCGTCGACGACCGGACCGCGTCGACGCGTCGCCACCGCGAGGCCGTCGGCTTGGCCGTCTTGTCGGCCGGTTTGTCGGCCCACTGGAGCGGACGGGGACCGGGGCACGGCTGCGGGTGGCTGGGGCGCGGCGCCGCGGCGGTCTCAAAGGAGACGGGCACGATAAGTTGCCGTGACCACAAGGCGGCCGGGAGGAGGGCGGAGGGAAGGCCAGGTCACGGCGGAGCACGGCGGAGCCTGCAGCGGGCCGATTCCGAGAGTCCTTTCGGTCGCTCTCTCTCTCTCGCTTCCATACGGGACGCCCCGCGAGTGCGGGAGAGACAGTGCGACGAAAACAACTCTCGGAATCCGTCTACGGCCGGTTAGAGTGTGAGGAAGACAGCGCCACGCAGCGCAGCTCGGAGTCACACCAGGTGGAGAAGGCCGTGCGCGGGGGAGGCTTGTTGCGCCCCGAGAGGACACGGCGGACGCTGCGAACACGACCGAGCACGTCGCCATGCTGCAGCCGCGACACGCCGCGACACGCCGCGACACGCCGCGACACGCCGCGACACGCCGCGACACGCCGCGACACGCCGCGACACGCCGCGACACGCCGCGACACGCCGCGACACGGGCACTAGGCACGCGGACGGGCCACGCCGTGTTGCTATCCGCTCACTCACCGCGCCACGTCGCGCCAAGGCAGCCAGGCACGGCCCAGGGCCCTCCAAGACCCCCCGAATCTGCAATGCTGATGTGTTCGGCCTTGCTGGGGCGCGTTCGGAGCCCCGTCGCCGTGGTCCAATGCCCGCCACTCTGTCCCGGTGTACGGCGCGGTGCTGCCGAGCCATTCCGAAGTATCCTTTCGTCGCTCTGTCTCCCTCGCACCCCTACGGCCCTACGGGGCGCACCTTAAGGGCGACGGAATCGCTGGGCTGGGGACGCAGTCCCTGCCTTTTCAAATTTTTCCCTTGGCTGCGACGCCAGCGGCCAGTCCCGCTGCGATGGGTTCACTCCGTGGGGTGCTCGAGTCTAGCCAGGCCCAAGTCCCTTAGCACCCCGAGCGGGCCGAGCGGCCTTGCGCCAGCAGACTCATTCCGAACATTCGTCGCCCCGCCTCTCTCGCACCCTTACAGGCCACCGCGGGAGTGCGAGAGAGGCGCTCGGAATCGGCCTGCAGGGGCGGCGGTCGCGACGGTGGTGATGGAAATCCCGTTCGTCTCAAGTGCGTGTTCTGTCGTGCTGCGTCTCCCGCGGAGAGGAGGGGGAGGAAGGGGGCCGTTCTGTTCTCGTCTCCGGGCCGGGGGCGGGAGGGGCGGCCTCGGGGGCGGCCTCGGGGGCGGCCTCGGGGGGCCTCGGGGGCGGCCTTGGGGGCGGGAGGGGCGGCCTCGGGCCACGTCGGGCGACACGTGTTTGTTTCGCCAGCGTGGTCGTCGGATAGTTTACTCTCTGCTTCCAGCCATTAACTCCCCTCGCCACCGAAGGACCGAAGTAGGGGGAGCGGAGGGGAGGCCCGGGACTCATGTGACACCCTCCCAGTGTGGGTCTCGGCAGACCACACAGAAACTATGCGATGCAGTAACATCTTGTGTTTTCCCGCTCCGCTGCCCCGGCCCCTCCCGACTCGGCGAGGCTGGCTGCTGGCTGCTCGAAACAGCTGTCCGGGCGCTGTCGACTGGCTTTCGGCTGCAGACTGATTCCGAACGTCGTTTTCGTCGCTTTGTCTCTCTCGCACTCATGGGGCGTGCCTTACAGGTGCAAGAGAGACAGAGCGACGAAAGCGACTCGGGGAATCGGTCTGCTGGCTTTATCGTCTGGCGGCGTGGCGTGGGGCAGCGCGATGCCCAGGCGTGCCGTTTGCTCTGGGGGAATATTGGTCCGCCCGAAGCCCGAAGTCCCAAGGCCCGAAGCAAGCGAAGCAAGGGGAGCGGAGATCTCCTCCTTGTTCCGTGTTTGCCTTGCAGCGTTTAGTAGTCCATTAAAGCCGGTTTTTGCAGGCGCCACCGGGCTGGGTTGGCCGGGGCAGGTAGCCGACAATCCGCTCACCAGGGCCTCGCCTGGCTTGGCCTTGCTGCCGAGCTGCGCCGTCGGCGTGCTGGGGCAGGGGGATGATGGTGGCGTCTGTGGTTATCCGTCTTCCTCTCTCTCTCTCTCTCTCTCTCTCTCTCTCTCTCTCTCTCTCTCTCTCTCTCTCTCTCTCTCTCTCTCTCGCCGTACAGTGCGGGCATCACGGCTGTGCCGGCCGTCACGTCGAGCTGGGCGTTATCGCCGTGGACGGGGTAAATTATGGACGCCCCCTGGCGCCCTCTCTGGCGGCGCGGCGGCGGTTCGGCGAACTAGCTCGGCAGCGCTGCCTGCGCTGCACACGTGAAGCGTGGACGCGGTGCGCTGTGGTGCGCGCGGTCGGGGTTGTGCGGGGATTGCGGCAGCGCGGCGTTGCGGCCCCGGGGGGAAAGGTGCGGGGTTCAAGTACCAGGTCGTTGCTGTTTTTACTGACGGCAGTGGCGCTGCGGCGCTAGCAGCGAGCCAGCTCCTCGACGGTCATTATGCCGGGCGCGTTTGTGGCGCTCGTCCCCTTTTGTGGGGGACCTCGCAAGCCGTCAGACCCCGCGCAACGAGGCTGCGACTACCTGGCCCCTGGCCGGAGCTAACCGTGACTCCAGCACGACTCGACCAGGCCAACCTAGCCAAGACTTCTCCAGCAAGACTCCGCCAGACTCTACCGAAACTCCCGCGACTCTGCCAAACTCTGCCAGACCCGGGTCGGGCCAGGTCGGGCCAGGTCGGGCCGGGTCGGGCCCGCCCCGCGCGGCGGCGGAGAGCGCTGCTGCCGCTGTGGCGCTACGGGGAGCTGGCTCGAGCTGCGCGGCGGGTGGCGGCAGGGCGGCAGGGGATGGCGTTCGGCAAAAAGGGGTCGCCTTGAGCAGCGCACTGAAATTGGAGACGGAAATTTGTATCTCGAGCATAACCCGTAGACCACGGCGCCCCCCTCCCCCTCCCCCTCACGGGTCCCACCTCGGGGGTCGGCGAGGGGGTCGGCCGGTCCGCCCGACGCTGCGTTCGGGGAAGGGTAAGGAAACGGGAATAGGGAAGGGGGAGGCAAAG